TCCCTAAATGTGAAACAAACTATGTGCGTGTACGTGTACGTGTATGTGTGTGTGTGTCTCCGAACTGTTGCGCGCGTTTTTCGTCTTGCGTGTGCGTGCAACTGTGTGTGCCTATTTTTGCATGCAACATATGGCAACATAATTTACCTTGTTTTCAAACTCATTTCCATTTGTCATGCTTGAATTTTGTGCGTTTGTGTGGTCGCGCATTCATTGAATTCAATTGAATTGTCTTTGCTCAAGCACATGGCGTATACGCAATATCGTTTTGTATCAAATTGCGTTGCTGGTTGTTAGACACGTCTGGCCCGATTTTCTTCTGCAGTTATCAACTTTCAATAGCAATACATTTTGATATTCAATATCTCAATATCTCAAGCATTCGAATGAGAATCACAACAGCCACAGTCATAGGCACCACCAAGCAGTCTGGCATGTTTGATTGCTCAAGTGTTGTGTTAACTGATTTGCCAATTGTTCAAATTGTAGATTATTTCTTCTTTTTTGGGTTTCAATATTAGCAAACAACTCTGATATAGGTAGGGAGTAGTGTCTGCCTGCAATTAGCCTAAAAGCAGGCTATGAAAATTATTATGAAAAGTATCTCAACCACCATCAACTATATACGAACAGCTAATAGCCTCCCTTCAATCTGCCTTCACTTGCAATAATACATACAGGTCATAAAACAATAATAATCGCAAAGGCCAGCAAATGAAAGTGAATTAACATAATGAAAGCCGATATGTGCAGTGCGTCGTCGTCACACATGCCGTATGAACTTTGTGGGACTAGTTTATTTTTTTTTTGTACCTACATATATGTATACACTTTCCCAACGTAGGTGCTTCGAACTTTGGCATACCACGAATAGACAGACTTACCCATATACGACGGTATATTTTTCTTTCTTCTCGTTCGTCTCTTCTTGTGCTTCTTATTCCGTCTACTCAAATGTAACATAATAACTTTTGAGTCACAAAAGCTGGTCTGCGATGTATAGTATGTACATATTTGAATATCTTAAGTTTATAACCAGCCACATATGTATAGTCACAATTTTTGTGCACTCCTCATACAATCAAGCGAATCAAAATAACGGACTTTATGGAAATATTTATATTCTTAATTTAGATCCTCCCCCAGTTTTCGCCTCAATCAATACATAATACATAAGTAATACACCAATGTATGACATAAGAAGATATATCTTTTTGCCAATGTCAATGACCAGAAGCTTTCTGGAAGAAGTGTGTAAAGAATTTGTAGAAGAGAAAAATGAGTTTCTTTTTTAAAATGTGTGTGTGTGTCTTTTAGCTTTGAATTTAAACTATTGTTCTTTAATCAATATTTCTTGTCTGTATTATATTTATATTATGCTGTTCCCAACAATTAATCTTGTTAAAAACTCTTTTTTATGATATGCCTATGGATATTCAAAACTGAATTAGCAAACCCGAATATTTAAAGAAAACAATTTTTAGAATAATTATAGTATGATTCGATTAATAGCAGTTTTTATAACATCCAACTTTGAAATCGCATTAAAATTAGGAAAATCGCCAATAAAATACAACTCAAGGCAACTTCTAAAAACGTTTCTTTAAAAAAACAAGAGTTCCCTGGAAGTAGAACCTTTATTTCTAAATGTTGTTCGGACAAAAAACTGTACAAATACGTTTGAGACGTGGGTTTAATTTCAATCACAAGTAAATATGTTGATCGACCTCCCTCCCTGACCATTTTTGTTTTCTGCAGTTCAATTTTTAGTTTTCAAATCAAATTTTCCATTTGATAGTGCTATTATTATAAGTGCATTATGTACTAAATCGACTTACATCTACACATATGTATAGACATAATACAAGTTACGAATTTCCGAGTGTTCTCTATAATTATAAATATTTTTCATTGCACATTCTATTTACATGCACCGATTAACAATTATAATTATTAAAAATATATAGTATGAGTATATTTGTTGAGTATACAGTATATATAGAAAACTCACAACTTCACTTGCACATGATTCATTCACAATTTCTTTTTCCTAATATACAATGCCAGAAAAAAAACTTGCAAAATATAAACAAATACTTTATTTAAAAAACTGTTCAAAATCTTTTGCGCAAATAAAAGCACAAGACAGCTTTATGAGCAAGCAACGAATAGATGCTTCTCGCTCTCACGAGAATTAGGTAGGGTTTTCTAAGCTCTAAGGTAGCTATATCTGGGTTTCAGGGCAAAAATAATATATTCCTATATGTGCTTTCTAAGTTCAACGTAAGATTTTGGCCCAAAAACTAAAACAAACCATAACAAGCTGGCCTCTTAAATTATTCTAAATTGTTTACTAATTTTTAAATGTAAGAAAAGTATTCTGGGGCGTTTTTAATTTTCAAATCTAGGAGATTTGTTTTTTTAGAAATGTCATTAATATATGAAAACTTGATCTATAAAACGACTAAAAAGAAAAACGAACGATCGGTTCCGTTTTTCTTATGTTACGGTCAGACAGGCAAATAATTCGCATACAAGCTAATCCAATCTGAAATTCGTTTTGATTTAAATTAATAATGCACACAATATATACAATTCAATTCACTTATTCACATACTAATTAATTAGACTAATATGTCTGGACATAGCTTTGTAATACCATTAATCTCATCGAGGCCTGTTTACAGAGTATCGGATAGTTGGCCAGTCGGTGGTGCTTCCAACATTATTTATATTACTTGCACTTCTATTGGTGTTGGCGGCTGTTTGCGCCTTCTGTGGTCGCTTGTCCAGTTGCCACATAGTTGTTATTATTCAGGGAAAATTGAATGAGTCGTCGAGCATTCGCTGCCGGAGTGAGGCCAGGACTCGATGAAGGACGCAAGGGGGAAAGCAATTTTTCATGCAACGTGCCACAAGCGGTGCGGCAAAAGTCATTACGAATGCATTTGCAACGGGGGGGACACCAGTAGTAGTAGGGCTAGTAGTGACTAGTGGCTAGCACAATTATCTTTACAATTACCTATTGATTTTTTTCAGTTGCCGGTTGGTCTCCACTCCGTCCTTCTTTGTCTGTCTGGGCTGTTGTCTCTTGGTGGCCCACTTTATGGCCACATAGCAGGGCTTTTGTTGTTCATTTGCAGTGCGTGGGCGTTGACATTGAGCCAAGTATGTGGGTAGGGTTGTGGGCTATTTGGTTGGTTTTATCAAAGGGCTAACCAACGGTCCGCATGACCTGCTAGCGACTGCCACTAGCGTCTGCCTCCGCTCGCCCCCGGCTCTCTCACTCCCTTATTGCTCTTTTGTGGGGCAGTACGACAGCTAATCGTTAATATTTAATGAACATTTGCTTAAGCTGACGTGAGTGGGTCTCAGGCAGAGCTCCTCCCTCCCCCTACTTCCCCGCCTTGACCCACATGCCTGTCATACGAGTATATCCGCCATATGATGAGAATTAAATTTTTGCCTGGAAACGCGACAGTTGTTTGGGTTTTTCCACTTTACAATTAAAATAATTGTAACACCCATTACCAATATATCACGTTCTAAATATCAAAAGCGGCTTAAGCTGCATCTTCTGTCAAGCCTGGACATTTAATTGACAACATTTTAAGACCATAAATAATTAATGTAACGAAAGACGTAAGGAACTAAGCATATTAAATAACTCTCCCACTCTCAATAATCAAAAAATTTGAGTTATGCGGCTAGCCACAGCAACGCCTGAAATTAATTGGAATTGCGTCAATTAATATTAATAATAAAGGAACGCTTTTAAGATCTACAACTCTTTTTACTCTTTACTCTTTTTTAAAATCTTTCAAATAATTAAAGAAACCTCTACTCCTTGCTTCTTCAGTCTCGACTAGGCTCCTGTGTCCGAATGGCTACAAAATATTATCGATATACATTTATATATATACTTGTGTAACAACTAGGTTCAGTGTCAACCTCATATGGGTTGGTACCGTTGGACACCGGAAGTTTGAGGGAAGCTCCACATCACTCCTGAGAAGGAAGCAATCGGTATGGCGCTAGAGTCCTTCCAGTTTCTGAAAGCATTCTTAACCAAATCTTACCCACGCTCTTGTAATCATTTAAACCAATGCCCAACGACCTACCAGACAGATTCGATAAAAATGAAACGAATAAAACTTCCCCTTTCTCCAAAACATAAACAGTTTGATTGCAGCAGTCACTATGTTATCAGTTCACCGATTAAGATAAAAGTCATTATTAAAAGACATAAATAACAATATTTGCTGCTCACGACATCGTAAAAAACCAACAAGTTATTGCAGTTAAGAACACATTTTGCTTTCAATTGCTTTCTAAACCGGCAATACTAGGTGGTTAGTGATAAAAATTAGGCCTGTCTACACGTATCTCTTGCTGTTATGATTCAGAAGTTCTTGAAGTTCTTACTGAAGAATAAGTGGACGGAGGGACAAACGGACATGTCATAAGTGTTCTGTTTTGCCTTTGTTCCTCTGCTGTTAAAGAGGAATCTTAAAAGAGTTAGGGTATTGTTTCTTCAAGAAGTATTTCGCTATTCCGTGGAATTCGGGAGTTCCCTAACTAACGTTATTTGTTCCTCTTTTGTTAAAAACTAACCCTAAAAGTTCTATGGTATTGTTTCTTCAAGAAGTATTTTCTTATGCGATATTCCGTGGAATTCGGGAGTTCCCTAACTGACTTATTTGTTCCTCTTTTGTTAAAGGTTAACCGTAAAAGTTCTAGGGTATTGTTTTTTCAAGAAGTATTTTCTTATGCGCTGAAATTCGGGAGTTCCCTAACTGACCTATTTAGCCATGCTGATAGGAATAAGAATAACTCTATTCTTCACATTTTTGAATCGAATTGATAAAAATATTCTGTGTCTGTGTAATTGTTGTGTATAATTTAGGTTTAAACAAATACAACAGCAATGAAAACCGAGGTCACATCTCTTTTTTTTCATTTTTTCCATTGCAGCGTCCGTTGAGCGGAAACTCGCCTAAATGCAAACGGCCATGGAAAGCACCGCAGTTGCTGCGCTGCCACTGAGTCACAGTCAGCTAAGTGGCGGTGGTGTTGGTGGGGTTGGTGGCAACAGCAATGGCAGCAGCAGTGCCAGCAGCGGTTACGGAAGTGCAACCACAACGCCCACCACACCGCTAAGCAACCACTACGATGCAGGGACAGTAGCGGCCTCAACTACATCCATGGCGGCGACAATAGCCACTGTGGCGCCTTTCTACAGTGAGGCATTGAGCCAGCAATTGCCGCCACCACATCAGCAACCGACGGCGGCACACCAGCAATCGCACTATTACCATCAAAACTACAGCTATTCCAATGCCATGCCGCTGGACTACAATGCCGCTTACAACGCGTACACGTCGTCGGGCATGCTGGCCAGCGGTTATCAGACTGCTCCAGGTGCTCGCTATGAGAAGTTGGCGACAGCCAATAAATATGTCGCGCAACCACTTCAACCGCTGCAGTCGCTTTACAAATTTACAACAAATAGCAGCGATAATGCGGGGGGAGTAGGCGGTACTGGAGGCATTGGCAGCAACACCAGCAGCGCCAACACAAGTAATAATAACAACAACAACAACATCAGCAGCAGCGGCAGCAAACCACAGGCAGCAGCGACCGCCTTTTATGCTCAGCCCCTGCAGCCAAATGTGTCAGCGGCCAGTTATAGCAATTTGTCCTACGATGCCGCCGCTGCCTATAAAATGACTGTCAAGACGACGCCCGATTGTGGCAGCGTCCAGCCCATTGCTGGTACAATGGGCAGCTATGCTGCAGGCTATCCGGGCAGCTACCTGACGCAACCCACACAGCAGCCACAGGCGCAGTCGTTGCCTCCACAGCCACAGCAGCAGCAGCAGCAGCAGCAACTGCAGCATCAGCAACAACAACAGCAACACCAAACCCTGCAATATCACAATATGAATTTAAATCAAAAGTCACAGTTCTCTCAAATGGATGCCAACTATGCCGCGATTAAGCCAAGCACGCGTTACCAGAGCATGGCGCCAATATATGGCAGCAGCGGCACTGGCAGCAGCAGCAACAACAATAGTCTTTGTAGCAGCAACAATGCCTATTATCCGGGCTTGGGTTTCGACAGCTCCATCTCCGGCCCGAGCCCACTCTTCAGTTCCGAGGATCCGTATCGCAAAACATCGAGCAATTCTTGCCATTGGGGCATGGACTATGCCGCCAGCTGTCGTACCTTGCCACCCGTACCGCAAGCAATGCCCAGCAATGCCACTGCCTATCATGGGCATCCGGCTGGTGGTGAGCTTTATTATGGAGCCAAATATGATAAGTATGGCACACCCCCCTACGGTAGTCCCTATCAGCCGCCGAATGTTTCGCAGCCTTTCGCGACACGCAACATGTGGGCTGGCGACCCCGGCACGCTGTCTATGCAACCGTATCCGAATCCAACGAGTGCGACAGGGGCAGCCAGTGCGCGTCAGAGTTGTTGCACACAGCCCTATGGTCAGCAGAGTTGCTACTATCCGCGCAGCAATGGGTACCCAGCAGTGCCACCCAACTACACCAGCAATGCGCCACCACCCGCTCAATATATTGGCGGTGGCACCACAAAGCCACACAACGACTATGTACCGCACATGACAGCGCCAGCCAAGCTCAAGCATCCGACTGATCTCTATGTTGCTCATGCACCACCGCCACCACCCTATGACACACAAGCCGCTGCTGCAACACAGCTGGCTTACCCGGGCTACCCCGGCGCCGGGAGCAGCAATGGCAGTCAGCGCTATATGCCGGCACCCACTAACCAACACCAACTGGGCCTGGGCATGGATGCAGCCACCGCCTATTACAATGATCTCAATAGCATGCAGCCAATGCTCGATAGCTATGCTCTGCAACCGATGCAGGCACAGCAATCCCTACAAAGTCATCGACAGCCCACATATCTGAGCAGTGGTAAGCCGAACAGTTTGCTCGAATATCGCAAGCGACCGAGTCTACCGCCTCACAGCCACATCACCAATACCAACAGCAACAGCAATTGCTACATCACGCAGTCCTCGGCACCACTCAGCAATCTGGAGGCGCATGTGGATAGCTACGGGGGCTATGGGGCAACCACCGCTATACATTACGGAGCACAGTCGACGGGTAAGCCCAGCAGCAGCTCGAATAATATACGCGACTTTCTGTCCAGCTGGAACGATGACGAGGAGGAACAAACCACAGTTGTGACGCAAGAGTCCGACATACAGCCAGTGGCAATTGTTGCGCCAGTTGCCTCCTCTAATTTCATGTATGAAACCTTGGCACCAGTTGGTCCCGTTGCCACTGCAGTAATGGATCAGAGTGCAGAGCTCAGTCAGTGCCAGCCCATGAACCTACCCGATATTATAATAGACATTGAGAAATCCAATGGGAATGGCAATCTGACACATGTCAGTGCAAATACAGAGGACTCGTTTGGTAGCTTCGATGTGGAAAAGGAGCTGGATGACCTTCGTTTCAAGAGGAATGGCTTTGAGCCAATTGGCAGCATCGAAGAGCGTCCCACAGATGCCTTAGCCGATATACTGAATGCGCCCGGTAACGATACAGATTCGCTGCCGCTGCCAGAGACTTTGACTATGCCGCTCCCATTGCTCAGTGCCTCAGAGGAGGCAGCTGCTCCTCTTCAGGAGACCAGCATAATATCCGACAGTCAGTTGCCTCAAGTAGAGTTGGATAACAACACTAGCAACTCGAATGAGTCAAGCTTTGAGAAGGAATATGAGACCTTTATACACAAAATAGGCGGCAGCGGCAGTGAGACGGAAACAAATGCCCAAGACGGCAGCGAGTATCGTGAGCATGCCAAAAAGTTCAAGTTCTACAAGCGCAAGCGAAAGATCACAGAGAGCAATGGAGAAGTTCCTGCAGATCAGCAGCAGCACCGACAAGAACTCGCGCCCACTGGGGAGAAACAAGCGAAGGAAGCTGTTGAAAATGGTAACACAATTGCAATGTCCGCCCCGGCCTTGGCCAGGGCTAATCGAAAGTTGTGTGCGCGCAGACGACGCAATCACATCAAAATGCTGAAGATATTGGAATTTGAGAGTCCCAAAATTAAACATGGATTCTACTTCAAAGCGCTGAAGGCTTTGCGCCGCCGCTTCGCTTTGGACAAGACTAGACAGAAGCGAACGCTTTTAATGCGTAGGCAATTGGAGGTGCGCAAGGAGCGTCACCTTCCGCTGATCAAGAGACAATCAGCCAAGCAATATAAGCAGCAACTCTACAATCCACCAACACTCAAGGGACTGAGCGTGTCGGTCATGAATTCGCAAGCCTTTCGAACGAGTCTAATGGGTGTAGTGGATGGGAGCAGCCCAATCGAACGGGCAGATGCGCTGCCGATGCGTACAGAGACTGTTATAAAGACTGCCCGGAGTGCGCAAGAGAGCAGCCGATATGAGAGAGAGCTGGAAAGAGGGAAGACTGAGCCAATGAATGCCACAAAGCCAATGAAGACTGAAGAGGCAAGAATAGAGCTGGACGATGCGAGGAATGCGCTGCCTATTTGTGAACTGCAGGAGCAGGACAGCTTGGATTCGGTGGAGCTGCTGGCCAGTTTTAAAGGGTTCGATGACATTGAGAATACGCACCTATCGCCGAGAGCTAGTTTGCAAGTGGAAGCCGATAATGCACCCAGCTCTAAGCCGAAGAAAGAGGAAGCAAGCAATAAGACGACGGCTCATCAATTGGCAGAGCAACATTCCAAGCAACAGCAAATTCAAGAATGGCTCCAAAAAAGTATGGCGAATGGTGAGTTGATAGCATCCCAGCAAGATCCTCCCCAAGTGCCGGTGCCGGTGCCGACAATTGCAATATCCTCAACAAGCTCAAGCTCCTCCTCATCCTCTACCTCAACAACATCAGCATCGACATCTAGCTCAAGCTCAAACTCCAGTTCAACCGATGATAACGATGCCAGCAGCAGTTGCAGCGAAGGCAGCAACGCCTCAAGTAGCAGCAGCAGCAGCAGTAACGGCAAGAGCAGTAGCAGTTGCAGCGGCGAAGAAAGTGAATTTAATGAATTGGCCGCCTTGAAAAAAGAACTATCCCAACATCCACATGCCAGCAGTCCCATAGAACCGCCTGTGGAGCAGGCAACAGTAATTGAAGCGGCTGACGAAGTGGATGCTGTCAAGGCTGTGTCTAACAGGGACATAGCCAAGCTAAAGAAGATACTAGAGAGTGATGGAGAGGAGGCTGGAGAGCATCCGAATGCCACCGTACCAAAGCTAAGTGACCTTAGTAAAATTGCCTTAAATAGTTCCTTAAAAACTAGCGAATTAGTTATAAAAACCCATGAGGATAATGCCCAGAAACTAGAGCATGCAGTGGAAGTGGAGCAATCGGAGCAACCCGATAACTTGGTGCAACGCGAACTAAGCGTTGAGGAAGCCCTGGCTGAAATGTATCAGCAAATAGGCGTAGTCTCTGACCCCGAAGACTATGTCGATGATAATAATGACGATGCGGCGAAAGATGCCGAGGCCGCTGGCGCCGATGTGCTGCTCATTAATTTAGCCGAAATTTTCGACAACAATAGCTCCGATCTGTATGTGGTCCAATGCGATATGAATGAGAACATCTTGGGCGTCGTAGCTACCGATGAAGAGCAAGCGGTATCCAATGAGGATCAGGTAAATACCCTACAACTTATCGAGTTGCTGGCCGATGCCGAGCCCGAAATAGATGCGTTTCCGCGGGCAGAAACACCCGAATTGGGACAATTCGTAACCACACCCATTATACATCACGAAGAAATCGTGCCCGACAACTACAAGGAGTTCGAGCGTCGCGAATTTCTAAAGTATTTGCATGCCAAGTATGTGCAGGGTCACATAAGTAAATACTATCATGCCCAGCGGGTCCTCAAAAAGTACAGGCGACGACTCTGCGAACATCAACGAAGACGCCAGCAACCAAAGCAGAGCACCAATGACTTGTAATTGACATACTTAGGCATTAATTAGGGACAGTTCTGGGGACTACAGTACATGCAAGTTAACGTCAAGGTTCTGAAAAAAGAACACTTTCGTAAAATAATCCCATTTCATTTACCAAATTCTAAATGATTTTGTGGAAATTGTTATCTTAATTCATTTTAGGGTGAAATCATATTTTAAAAGAAGTGATTCAATACAAATTTCAGATAAATGAAATAAAAACTCCAGTTATAACAGAAATTTTGAAAAATGACTCCTTAGGTTTCTAGAAAACTAAATTAAATTTTACAATAATTCATGCGTTCAGATTGGAGCTTGCTCGTCCCTAATTCAGGTAATGCCTTTTCTCCCAGCTCAGCTTTCTCACTTACACCAAAACAACTAGAATCTTTAATAATTTCCGTTTATTGCTGATCCCGAACCCTAGCCGATTGTAAGGTTTCAAAATCTGTTGCCTAGGAGCGTCTAGGACCACAATCCATCTTCAATTTCACAATCCAGATGTATTTTATTAACATAGATGTAATCTCCCGACTCAGCATTTATAACAAAAAGTCTAAAATACCTAATCCTTGTCATAAAGCATTTTAGAATAAATTTGTGATTTCTGAAACAGTAACACCAATCATGTTAGTAACAATTGGTGACCCCGACCGTTAGTCGATATTAAAGTTCCAAACTGCAACTCTAACTTGCAGCCATGACAGAATCTATTGTCAGGAGGCCATTATCAATTTCCCAATCCAGTCAATATCGAATATATTTGACTAAACCAAGCATGTACTGTAGTCTATAGGTCCGCGTGTGTGTGCGACTGTTGGTGTTTCATTGCAGCTTCTACCAAAGATATTAATATGTATTTGTACAATAGGTGTGTTGATTAACAATAGCCCCTATTATGGGGTAGGCGCAACAATTGGCAAATCGCTTTAAAGTCGGACCCGCAGGTTCGGGGTCGGACGGCGATTAACATTTCCAATCAAGTGTTAAATGAGCCCATGGCCGAGGGTTAACTCGATCTTTTCGCTACTTTATTTTTGATATAGCCTCACCAAATGGCATTTGTCGTTATGTTATTGATGGGCTATTGTTGCCATTGTTGTTGCGTGAAAAATCAACATGCGTGCCTAATGGTATAATAATCATTTTTTACACACACCGGCACACCCATACAAACAATTTAAAGAATCTCAAAAGACTTTTGTGCAAAATTTAAAAACAAAATCAAATTTGTTTTGCATTTTTCCACCCCAACTGGAAAAATATGCGCTAATTATAGTTAAAAATTACTTTTAAATTATTGCTACGAAACATTACACACATATACGAGTATATGTATAATAAATATATATATATATACACATAAGTTTATATATATTTTAGATAATTGTGCAATATTTACATACAAATTTCGTGTTAACATACATTTACATTTGTGTTTGTGTTTTGGAATCTCGATATTTAGGCTAATAAGTGGCATATAAATATATACGAGTAGATACATATATATATATATATATTTTATATATCAATTGTAAACTGCAATTGTGTGTGTGTGTGTGTTTGCGTGTTTATGTGCCCGTAATTGTCGCACTAGCGTGCAATTAACGTTAAAAGTTAATGCATATGTTGTTGTTTAAAGCGAAATGCATACATATATACGAGTATTGTTAGCTACAAACACCAACAGATCTTTGCGCGCTCTTATCAGTTAATGCATCAGCATTCAGCTTGTTGGCCACATTTGTACGAATATGTGACTTGGTCAGGCCATTCTGAAAAGGTTTCCGTGCCTTAAAAAGGTCGAACAATGCGTACACTCCACAATAACCATAATGTAATCCTTCTATAGTTGAAACTTTCCCAACATGTTCAACTTCGTACACTTGAACAATTTAAATTTAAATTAAATTTCTTTATTACCATTCATTGTTGAAATTGAATAACTATTTCATCATATTTTTTATATTTATTTCAATTTGCAATTGGAATTTTTCCTTCTTACTATACTTATTTCTTTTTCAATTTGAATGTTGTGCACATTTTGAAGGCTGGTTTCGCAATTAAATATTGAAAAATATTATTTTAAAGTATTCGTTTCTTGCTATAGGAACATTTTTTACCAGAAGCCTGTTTGGCGTTTTCATAAAGTTAAAATACAGTAATAGTTTTTTTTTTTACAATAAAAAGAATATATGAGAAACATACTAATATTCTGTAAAGTACGGCATATTTGCAAAAATATAAAATTTAAATTTATTATCTTTTTGGCAAGCTAGGGTTTTTAAAACAAGCGAAGAATTTATACATTTCTATTTAATAATTGACACATTTATAACGTCTTTAAAACTAAGATTTTAATCTTCACAAATTCTACTATTTAAAAATGAAAGTGCAATTTTCAATTGTTTATGTGGAAAAGTGTTTGTTTCTGAATTAAAAAAATAAATATAAAAAATAAAAATTTCGAGAACTATGAATGAATTAAAATTTAATTCAATTTAAATTAAAATAATTTAATTATTAAATCTTTTAAGCTGAGATGTTGGCTGAGATAGCTTTTCTAATGGAAAATGTAGTAGTAAATGGTTTTAAAGCTATGCTTATTATTATTAAAGTAAAAATTTCAAATTTAATTTCTACTTCTCTAAGTGGAAAAGGTGGTTCTTTCTGAAATACATAAATAACTTAAACTCTATATTGATTGAAACTTTAAAAAGTCTTTGTAACTGAGATGTTGAACTCATAAAAATCATTATATTTTGGTGTAGAGCCTCTTCTTAATGTATGCTTGTGTTATGATTTTTGAGTTATTTAAACCATTCTAGTACGCGTAAGAGACATTAAGAGGAGTACTTAAAAACAAATGCGCAATTAAATTTTAAAGCCAACAACCCAAAAGCAAAAGTGCAATTCATATATGGGAATATATGTTCATGTTATTAATTCAAAACAAATAAAATAAACAAAAATTCTCTGAAAAAAACACTAGATGTGCCGAAGGCAAGATGTTAATGATTAAATTTCAAATTCAATGGCCGCTAGAAAGGCTTTTAATTGTTCGTAGACAAATTCTAAAATTCTTAAATTTATAAAAGTAGGCGTTTTGTGGAGTGTAACGTATGCGTGTGTTTTTATGTCAATATGTCATGTTTAGTTTTTCCAACTTTGATTGCGTGTTACCAACAGTGACAGCAAAAATTGCTGGAAAAAAAAATAAACTGATTGCCAGCATGCCAAATGCAACAGACTGGTAAACAGACAAATGCATAGAATGACAGACAAACAGACAGATAGACGAACAGACGGGCCTTTGTCAAGGCAGACAGACAATCATATGTAAGTATATACTCGTACATATGTATGTTGTATGTACATACTTGTATGTATGTATATGCATTCACACTTAACTACAACTAAACAACATTCCGATAGACAGTCAGGCCTTTGTCAAGTTTATGGCCATGTGCTCCTCTCTATTGTTGTTGTTGCCGAATTCGCTGGACCCGCCCGTGCGCCACACACGCAATTTGCTTTGAAAAAACAGAAAAACAGAGAAACAAAAAATTGCAAACAACTAAAATGAAAACAATATATTGCATGATTGTTCAGTTTTTACACCTGTAATTAAATCATTGTAATTTACAACCTTTAAGATATTTAGCTTAAGCGAAAGCAGAAGACTTTTTTGTTAGCACCAAATGCAGCCTAGACCAAAAACTAAATAAAATTATAACTGAAACTACTTAGTCTAAAAGGAATATATTTTTGATTTAGTACGGAAATGCTTCAAATGTTTAATAGTCAATGTTAAGTTTTGAATTTGTTGTAAATTGTAATCGCAATGTTAAATGTTGTTTAGACCTTTAGACTGCAAGAGCTTTGCATTATTAAAACGAGTATAATACTTGTATTATGAAATATGAATAAGTTAATTATGGTACGAGTATGTATGTAATGTTTTTTAAATCGCCTTTTTACATATACAACACATAACTATTTATATATTAAATGTATAGTGCTATATAAATATATACATACATATATATTTAATAACAATATTGTACACGTTTTTTGAAAAATTAGCTCAATTCGTAAGTCTAGCATTTAAGCCGTTGGACCAAAACATTGACAAAACCACACCCATTTATAATAATAACAAAAATATCTTGCGTAATCCGAACTAATCTACAAAGTAGGACAAATCACAATATTGTAGGCGCTGCTGCCATTTGCCAAAGATCGTCGGACCGTGTTAAAACTATAGAAAATATATCTGCAGACTGCAACAAATTGAATTGTAAAACGCTTTGGCAACGCCATATGTAACGTTCCATGCCAAATATGTGAAATTCGTAACGCTAACTTGGCAAATCGCAGTTGCTTATACTAATTAAATCCCTAATTCCTGTTTTTCAAGGCAACACCAGTCCACTACACACATAATAGATATCTAGAGATATAGCCGCAAATGTACACTAGAGAAGGAACAAACGTGTCACACGTTTATTCCGCAGCACATTCCAAAAGACCAATACATGCCCATAGAATACACTATAACACTACGAGTATATAGTAATTCCTATTTGAGTTTTTCAATTTTCCTTCTTTTCGTGAGCAATTGTCAAGCAAGAGTTTATGAAAATCAAATAAATGGTAATACGCTTAATTTTAGTACAAAGCAAAATGCTGCTAGCCCACTTGAAAACTTATTTATTTATCTATTGAAAATTTGTAAGCAAAATTGAGAACTTCTCCACACAGATAGACAGACAGGCATACATACATACATATACACTTTCAATATAATGCAATATCAGCCCAAGAATTAACGATCTGTCCAATTTTGGAGACATACATATAGTATACAAAATGTTTGTGTCTTTTTGAAACACCAAGAAACAAGAGAAAGAAATCAACGTACTATTTGAATAAATAAATGTTTTATGTAAATGTTATTTAAAAAAATTACAAAGCTTGTGTTTTTCTCAATCTATATACTTGATTGTAATACAGAACAATGTCTCGTTTTATTTTAAATATATTTTGTTCCGCAGAATCAAACAGCACAGCTTGCAAGTCTACAATCTGCAAGCCTAATCAAAATATCAAATTAAAATATTAATAAATAAAGGTAGGTTGAAGTAACGACGTGCGTGTCGCTCTGACTTTGGTTTCGTTAGCTTTTATTGAGTTTTGTAACAGAACTCTCTTTGGTATGATGCTGAAGCAGCAGAGTAATAATGAGAGTCACCCTCTCTCTCTCTCTCTCTCTCCGTCTCTTTTGTTGACATGGCAACGCTTTCTAAGTAGTGAGAGAATTAATCTCGATCAGCTGATCTTTCTTACTCTGCTGTTTGCAGACACAATCGCCATCTCACTCTTTTACTCGTACTTATCGAAGTAACGCTTCTTCAAATCTGGCGGGTACGTCACATATATATAGTGCTCGTTCTGACCCACCTCGCTCTGCACAATCTCATGCGTGGAGGAGGATGCTCTCAGGGATTGTTGCGACGAGCCCACATGCCTGTGACGCGTATCCAATGGCCGCGGGTGCGTGTTATAGTGACGGGTCGTATCACCGGCCGCACCGATCTGTGTGGACCGAGTGCCGCCGATGTTGCCGCCCACGCTGCTGCTGCTGCTCACCACTGATGTGGCTATCGGGCGACCCACACTACTTGTATAGTCGCGTCGGTCTAAAATGTCCTGTGGGTAGCCCAGGCTTGTCGAGTGGCGATGATGTTGGAGGTGCGGCTGTTGCTGCTGATGATGATGGTGGAGGGGGGTGCTCGCGTTGGATGCCGATTGACGTACGCCCGCCGCCCCTGTAACCGTGGGGGTCCCCTGCTGCCCGGCTGCCTGAGCCGCGGCCACCGCCTGACGCTGGTCGGTGCTGATATAGTGGCGCGGACTGTGCCGATGATATTGCACTGGTTCGGGGTATAAGTCGCGCGCCGCTTGCTGCTGGGCCTGCTGCTGTTGGTAGTAGTACTGCTGCTGCTGTTGCTGTTGCTCCGCAGTCATCCCATGCATTGGGCCTCCATCGCCCAGACCCCGACCCCCCAGGCCATCTATATCGCGCGGCATCGCATAGTCGACATGATAATGGCGGGCAGGCATATAAATGCCGCTCCCGATCCCGCTCCCGATGCTGCCGACGCCGCCAACTGTGCCGTAGCCATAGTGGTTGTTGGCATTGATTGTCGTTTCTTCGGAACTGAAATAGATAACTTGGGTTTGTTCACAGGGCACTCAGTTTCCTAAGCATAATGCGACTGGCGACTTACTCAAACAATATCCAAATGATGTAATAGCAAAAACAAATGCCAGTCGAGAGCACAAATATGAGTATAACAATCAGACCCCAGGGAAAGGCACGTGGTTCGAGCGGGCCATCCTCCCAGTATCGATCACAGGTCAGATACCAGCAGACCGCCTTATTCATCTCCTCTGTAATACAAGAACAGGTGTAATCAATTAGGTGTGTCTATTATTTACAGATCATTCGGTAATAAATAAATTAAATAAATAAAATAAATGCTATCTAAAAAATGGCCTTGTCTGTAAATATACAATTTTTTAGTTTAAAAGGGGATTGATTTTTAAATAGCCTGTATCTATCTGGGTTAGTCTTTATGTTAAAGTTATGAGCTGTAACCTTTTAATAGTTAAAAAAATCAGTCTTAAATTGATGTAAATTAAATAGGTATTGAAAGTATCGCTTATAAAAAACTCTTACTAAATAATTAAGAATTTAAAAGAGTTGAGTTGTTTCATATTAGTATATGTAGCAAATATTAATATCTAGCTAGTTTGCAACAAAATTACCTTCCATCTCCTTAAACGCTTGATCCGACATGGAGAGCAACAGACTGCCAATACAGCTTCGCAACAGATACTCGCATCGAGCCTTCAATTTGCTCAGATCTTCGGCTTTACAATTGGCGCGCACCTTCGACATATTCGAGGCAGATGCATTCTCATCACTGTTCACCACACTGGCTTCATCCTGCGTGGCATTAGGATCATCATTTCCATCGTTACTCTTCTGTTCGGTGTCATTCACTTGGGCTTCGTCAACGCTCTCGGTTCCGTCAGTTTCCTGTCGCTTCTGTCCCAGACCCTTAAGCTTGCTCAGCAACATCTCGCTGGCTGACTTTAATTTGGCAGTTCCTGCATCCTGTGCAGCTGCATCTGCAAATTGCATGTTAGAAGAAATTCTGATAAGGAGTGGACTTAGACTCTTACCTGACTGCGACTGCTCGTTGCTTTGGCCTTGTTTGTCTTGGATTAATTGACGGTTTTGTACTTTGGCGGCACGTGTGGCACCTAGTGTGGAAGTTCTGCAACGAAATGATAAAAGTGGTTAGCCTCTTCATATTTAATTGAACCATAAACCAAGACCAGTGGTTAAACATGTTAGCTGATGGGGAAATTAAATTGAATCTATGTTGAAATAGACTTTTAATAAAAAATTAGCTTATTCGGATTAAGAGGTTATTAAGTAAATGGATTGTATTCTTCTTTACTTATTAACTAAATTAACTTGATTGCTCCGAACAAGGAACTATTTATTTGCTGGATATAAACACATTACTTAATCCGTTAACCACTATTCCTGAATTGCTTGAAATACGAACATAACACATCATGCTTAGACCTACTTCTTACCTAATTGGTATTAAACTCAAGTATGCGGCATTCGCTTTGGCCAATGCGGAATTCTGACCCAGAGAGTCTCCCCAAACTTCAATGTCTGTTACAATGTGTTGATCGCCGAATTTAAGACTAGATGAATCCTCTGTTTGAAACACTTCGCAACGCATTATATCGCAAAAGTCCGCCAGGCAAACAGAGTCCTCTGCCTAAAATGATAATAAAAGATTCGTAATCAATATATAATCTTGGATGATTATTTGTGCTAGTTATTTACCTCGTTAATGATTGATTTGTGGCGCGTGTCGAAGTGCAGGTCCAGGTGTTTCTCCTGGTAGAAACTCTTGCCACACATCCGGCAGGTCCACTGCGTTGGCCGATCACGCTGCTTGGCATCCTGGCGTGGCGCAAAAACATCTCGAAATGGATGCAGTGGACACTCTAGAGGTAGCTTCACCTGTTCGACAATCAATTTGTACTTATAATAACACGTTTAAAACTATTCAAAACAAGATTTATATTGGACTTAAAAGTGAATTAAAATCAGTTACAACGCTACAACGTCTTTTTAACACAATTTTGGCATTCTTCATTGCGTTTAGCATTTAGTATTTGCCACTTACCTGATGCTTGTCCAATATGGGCGTCCATTTGGAGCGCACTATTTTGCGCACCAGTCGACTGCTATCTCGAGAGCATAGAATTTTGATGACATTTGTGGGAGGCCATGGTATGAGAAGTAAAAAGTAGATAAGTGCAATCTGTAAAAGCAAATAACAGGCGATAAATGTTATTGCCACAAACATGCAACAATTCTTGAAAGCGAACAAACAGCAACCGGATACTGGCAACTCAATCAGAGCCAAAAACCTACGGAAATGTCCACAAAGTGGTCATCGTCGGTGGGTAAGTAAATGTGACACAATTATCCAGAAAATGCGCTAAACGAAAGCAAAAGTCAGAGGGCCAATTAAGCGGCAGGCTGGTCGACAGACCTGTGTATATAATTTATGTTCTCGTGCAAGGCGACGTCACTTGTCGGCCGGCCCGCTGACCACGTCAACTTGTGCCCGCTACCGGCAATGTCGCCTCATCAACCACCAACGCCCTCCTCAGCAACCCTTGCGCAGAAGGCGCGCATATTTTTGGGTCACTAGCAAGTTGAAGAAAAGGGACAAAACTTTAGGCCGGGCAGAGCAAACAAAAAAAATCGATAAAATGTGTGGTGGCGGACTCAAGGCAGAAGGCATGTGGGGTGGTTGTGGGCAGAGTTTAAAGCCATACATATGTATATGTACATATGTAGTGGTTAAAGGAATTCTCCAATTTGTTCAAAATATTCATTATGCTTACCTCGAAATGATGATATTTAGGCGACATTCATAATATGTAATTGTTTTTGTTTTTCTTTATTTTTGTTTGTTGTTGTATTTGCAGCAGCAGTTTTAAATGTAAGAGTCAATCAAAAAGTGCATTTAATACCAAAATATTCTGCGTCTATAGTTTATTGTAATAGATTTGAATGTGCTATAAAAAATGTATTAAATAATAAAATATTTATTTTCTTTATAGTTTTTGTATACGCGTTTAGTTGACGTCCGCACTAGTGAAAATTTCTACGCTCTCTAAACGGTGCTTTCCTTTCGCATTGCGCTTCATTCGCTCACGTTGCCGTTATCCTGTGAGAGCTTCGCGCACAGCTGATGCCAGAGTTGCCCAACATATTAATTAAATAGCAGATGTGTACTATGCTATACAAAATTTGTTTTTTATTTATACATTTCTTGTTTATTTTAGTTATTTAGTTTTAAATTAATTGTAGCCCACGCCAGGCGGCAGAAACTATTTTACAATTTTTAAACTAAGTCATTAAATTTTGCGCAAACTTTTGAACAAAGTTGTTTTTGCTTAGAATGCAGTCCTCACATTTTTGTGCGAGGGAGGAGCGTTTTCTGAGCTGACATCCCATATGTATGTAGCTACTATAATTTAAATAACTAGAAACTAACAGAGGAGCACTGGCACCACATCCACTCACAGCCCATTGTAGATCTTGTTTATGGACGACTGATCGAGTATTTTCTTGATCGCTGTAAGTGAAAGATATAACAAATTAAGAGATAATGATTGAATGTTCAGAAAAACTACACTACCTTCTTTGTCCTCCTCACTTAGATCCTTTTTGGGGAACTCCACATCAAACGTAATGTACAGATTTCCCGTCAGATTGTTGTTCTCAAAGTTGGGCATGCCCTCGCCCTTCTTACGTATCCGCGCACCGGGCCATGTGACCTTTTCGCGCGTCACTGGAACCTTATGGCCATCCAGATGCGTGATCTCCATTGTAAAACCAATGAGTGCATCTTGCAGGCTAATTGTAACATTTGTATAGAGATCATCGCCCTTGCGCATAAAGCGTTTGTGGGGCATTTGCTGAACGCGCACTATCAGATCACCGGGCTCGCCATCAATGTGCGGCTCACCCTCGGCCACGAAACGCGTCTCCTGGCCATCGACCATACCCTGCTCCACTTCAATCTCCAGCGTGCGCTCCTCATTGACTAGTTTAACATTGGGACATTCGTCGCACACGGTTTGCTGTATCATCTGGAAGCGGCCCGGTCCCAGATTACGAGTCACCATCTCCTGCCGGCAGTTACATTTGCGTGTACCTGATGCCGGCTTCACCACTGGCTTGTTTCGAACAATCTCAACAAAGTTTCCCGTGTATAGCTCCTCCAGCGACGCATATAAGTTCATTACAATGTCTGCACCGCGTGGCGTGTCGTGGTGATTTGGATCTCCGTTGCCAAAGTGGAAGCCAAAGTCACCAAAGAAGCTGGCAAACGGATCACCCCCATGGTCCATCATGCCCTCCTTCTTAAGACACTCCTCGCCGCAGCGATCGTACGTCTTGCGCTTGTCTGGATTCGAAAGAACTTCGTATGCGGCACCCAAATCCTGAAACTTTGTGGACGCATCCGGGTCATCCTTATTTTTGTCCGGGTGCAATTCTTTGGCCAGTCGCCGGTACGCCTTCTTGATTTCATTTGTGTTGGCATTGCGCTTTACATTTAGAATCGAGTAAAAGTCACGGCCCGCCAGAGCCTCATCGATCAGGAACAGAGACAGCTGCACGAGCAGCAAGCACCTTATTAGCTGCATTGTGTATGTGGTTTTTCTACTACGTGGTTCTGCGTCGGCGAATTATTCAACAAAACATTATTTTTATCTGATAAATGAACAAACGCACGTCAAAATAGTTCAGCTGGCAAAAACTCCTCCAAAAATTATCTACGTTTGTATGTGTGCATCGTGGTCGGCGTTGATTGGTTGCTGCCGGCTTGCAAGCGTTGCCACATCATTGCATAACTAAAGAAATGGGAAACAAAACAGCTGTTAAATGGCAACGCAGTGATTCAAATAAATTGTGATTGAAATAAAAGCTTTAAAACTACTTATTTTCAAAAACCATTTTATTAAATTGTTACCACCAAATGAAATATACTTACAGCGCTCACCAGTCTTTTTAAAACCCTTTTCACATCTAATATAAATACTTAGGCAGCAAATACTTTGTAATTTTCTAAGCAAAGGCCAGCTTCTAAATGGTATTAATATCGCTATCTATTCAAATTATCTTAATTACTAATTCTTTAAATAATGTTTAACAGTTTAATAATATACTCATGGACATTTTGGTTTTGCATGAGAAACGCCCATCTCTAGCTTTTCATTCATAATAACGAGTGCTAGTGGTGTAAGTAATTGCCTGCCAGCCCTGGTTTCAGTAGTATTCGGCGAGAAAACATCTAACGAAGAAGTTAAATACGGCGACTGCGGCTTAAACGAAACGCCAAGGTTTATTTTAGTTAATTTAATTATTGCGTTTGCAACTGCGCGCACCGCACTCGGCTCCCACCTACACAAGCATTTACAAAAACTTCCGAAGTGCCTTTAAAGATTACATTTTCTTGCCATTTGTTTTCATTGCAAACTAAAGTGCTTAAAAAACGCCAATTGGTCTTGCTAAAAATTTAGTCTTGCCATAATCGCCGTGAAATCAGAATCCCAAGGTCTAGCAAGTGGACACCAGCAACAGCAACTAGTTGCAATACACAGGTAGCTGTTGTGCTTATACATTTCTTTGTGTGCGTGTGACTTGTTTTGAAGGTGAGTAATCGCATTAATAACAACAAACGATAACTTAATCAGAATTATAGTATGCACAAATGGTAGTAATAATTTTTGATCGAAAATTGTACCCAATTTGCATTGCAACTACTTCTGAATTATGCATTTGAAATTAACTGCCAGCGCCAGGGACCTTGGGCTGAAGTCTTGTGACTGCAAACTGCAGCAGCGCCCGCTTATCAGCAGCTTATAAGTTGACCGTATTATTAACACATTTATACATTTACATGTACATATGTAAATATGTACATATGTGATAGATACTATTATCGGCTATTTCCGAGCTCATTTATAGTGTAGAACAAAGTCTGGCCCATTACTCAGAGTCAGAGGTGGCTCATAATCTAATGACAAAGAACAATATAGTGCAATAAAGGCTGCCTTGCATTTGTTTTAGTATATATTTATTTTTATTTTTTATGTATTTTTATTCCTTCATTAAAAGTGTAAGGGTCTATTGTATTTTGTGTGTAAATTTGTCAGAAATTCTATAGTACGAACACAATAGGAAATATAGTTTCCGGCCTCTTGGCTGTGGAGGACTTCAGTTTTATTTGGAAGACACAGGATACACATATCTCCGACGCAGATAATTTCTTAGCTCGTTTTTTATTTATACATTACAAACAGTTCCGTTGGAAAAAAGTACTTGTAAAGGAATCTGTTATTGACAATCTTCCATCATTAAAAAGAAAACCAATTTCAGAATATACACGCATATAAACGCAAAAAGTAAGACGTCTACAAAATTTAAACGTTATAAATAATAGCACTATTATTCGTAGTGTATTTATTACTATGAATAAAAAGAGTAAACCGTTTTCAATGAGTAATATTAAAGGCTTTCGAAGAGCAACACTTTTTTCAGGTCAGGCCAAAAATTTTGTAGCGAGCCTGAACTCTTTCTAGGCTTGCCGGGAGTAGCAGACTTCAAGGACCCCTTTCAATCTCCTGACAATTAAATTTAATCGTTTCTTTGTCCGAAACATTGTCGGTCTCTGCTGATAATTTTTTCAGAACAGCCCACAGTTCGGCATAGATTTTCTTTCTAAAATTGTAATTTTTGACAGCCCATATCAACATTATTTTGAAAATAAAATTAGGCCTAAGTATATTAAACAAAAACTGCACTAAGATGTAAGCTTTAAATGCCTTGTCGAATTTCTATTTCGAGAATAAGGCAGTTAGTGCAATTTTTTATTGCTGATTTGTTTTTCACATTATTTCCTAGATTACATATTTCAAAAAAGTGTATATTCCAGCGAGTCAAAAAAGTTTATAAATTATAAGGGAATATAACATTTATGAATAATAAACTTTTCACTGGCTACAGTCCTATTATTTTCACCACCGCTGTAAATATTGTGCGCTTATCTGGGGTTTTTAGAATATATACCAAGCCTTTTCATTTAGTGCATACAATGGACAAATCTTATCATTACATTTATTCTTAATAATGTTCTTACTGGCAACAATATGTGTGCATATTTTGTTAATCGCGACCTTAATACCAAATATTCTTATCGCTTCTGCCATAAAAAAGACCTCCTATTAATTTTTACAAACATACAAAGGAATGGGTTCATAAATCTACAATCGGCAATTGGCTGGCCTTTTTTTAAAGAATTTTTATATGCTTTCTTAATGATTCATAGACAATAAGTTTTGCCAAAGAAGTTTACTTAAATAGATTTGAGATAAATTATTGTCCGTTCTTAAGATTTAATTATTTATTGACAATGAACCTTTGATTTAAAATGCGAAGTTAAATGAAACGACACCTTTTCTCAATAAAACTGATTAAGAATTAATTATATTAGACTAATTAAGAAATTAAATCTTTTTTTTTTCTTTACAATTTTATTTCTGTATTTGAAACAGGAATAGCTATAAGAAAAGCATCATTACACACTATAACTTTTGTTTTAATTCGCACACACCAACAGTTAATGCTTGAACTCTGAGATATTTTCATCAAGTCATTTAAATATTTATTTGTCTTGCCGAACCTTTTGACTTTCTGTGCCATATTTTTGAAGCCAAATGCCAAGTTAACGAATTTGACTTATGTACGTAATTGCGCCCCATTATATGGGATCCAGATGTTAATTAATTTTGGTTAGCTCGAGGTAATCTGTGTGCGAATCCGCAAACAATTGCACTTGAAATTCAACCTCTCCAAGTACACACAAACACACACATTTTAGCCGTTCTTATGCACTCGTAAGCAAACAAGTCAATAAAAGTGTTTCTTTATCATAATCGCTGCTGTTCTGTTCTTGACGTTCATATGTATGTATGTATATTGATAACTCGGTCCTTGTGATTAGCCAACAACTTGTGTGGTCTAATTTGAATGAAAGCCAAAAATTGTTAATCGTAGTTGCTTATCAAACACTTTAGCCCATTGATAAGCTACCATTTCGATTTATATTTAGAATCCCACGGTGCCACGCGAGCAATAAATAAATAAATAGGAGAAATGCCCATGTTCTGGGGTGCTCTGAATTGTATATTCTCTAATAAACGTTGTGCATACTTAAAAATTACTGGATATTTTGTAGAATGTTAATTACATTTAATTAAAGAATTAATACAAACAAATTAGCAAATTCCTTGTTATAATTACTTGTATTCAACAAATTAGTGACGATAATTAGACTAAATTCGTACGAATTTAAGCAAATCGCTTCTCAAACAAGTAAAAAAGCTAAAGTCGGGTGTCCCGACTTTGAAATACTCTGTACATATGTTTACAATAATTATAGAAAATAAAAAAAATTAAGAAAATAAAAAAAAAAATTTGATCGATTTTACCTCTCTCGGTATTCGAACTCACGTAAAGGGTGTATAATTGCACATTTACATAGCAATTGCGTCTGTGTGAGTGTATGTATGCCTATGCGCATCAATTCGTGTCTGTGTAAGCATTTTCGCAGTCAACCAAACAGCAACATCAACAACAGCCGCGGGCAGCGCTTGAGCAGCGCTGCAGCAGCGCTGCATCAGCAAATATATTTATGGCTATAACTTCTTGTTAAATCGGTCTATCATAATGAAATTTGGCATACGGACATATAATAACTAACTGGGGGTATTTCCAAAATTTTAGTTCGAAATTCCAAGAATTACGGGAGTTACGATTTGCGGGGTAGAGGGGGGAGGGAGGGGAATTCCAAAATATACATTTTCTGCGTATTCACATAAGGCATCTGGGACTAAAATTTGGTGTTCCTAGGTCTTATAGTCTCCGAGATATAGGCGATTATACGAATGGAAAATCGGGAAAACCCCCATAGGGGGGAAGTGGGGGGGAAAATCAAAAAAATAAAACAAACTCGTATAGAATACACACATAACGCATCTTCGTGCAAAATTTGGTGTCTCTATCTCTTATAGTCTCTGAGATCCAGGTGTTCATACGGACGGACAGACGGACAGACGGACAGACGGACAGACAGACAGACAGGGCTAGATCGACTCGTCTCGTCATGCTGATCAAGAATATATATACTTTGTGGGGTCTGCCACGCCTCCTTCTGCCTGTTACATTTTTCAGCTCCCGCAAACCTAATATACTCTTGTACATTTCATGTACAGAGTATAAAAATATGGGAAATTGAGTTGTCAATTAGGTGGAATTAGATTTCTGATAATAAACGTGAATAATTGCCCAACCTGTTCTACAACTATATATTTAGGTATTAGAAAAAACTTTGAATCATTTTTTATCGCTTTTAAATATAAGAAGAAATAGACTAGTTTTTTTAAATAAGATCTTTTTCGGACTCTTCCTATGCTCACATTATTCATTAAGAAGGAAGCATCCCTCCAAATATTTATTTCGACTATATCTTATAACTTCCATCTTTTTGATATTGAAAGTTAGATCTTTATTGCTTACAAACATCAGATAATAGTTACCCCCTTTGGTAGAGTATAAAATTCTTTCCATATCGCAATTGCTTTTATTATTTGAAGAACCTATTACTGCCAGTGCTAATCCGAAAATATACAATTGTTTCAGATGCATATCCCCCCAGTATAGAGCGAACCTGGCTACGAAACAGACCAAAAGCAGCAGCAACTTTCTTCAATCAACTTAACATATCGAACCAATTTCAAGATGTGCTGTAAATGTTGTGGGGTGACCCAGCGCAAGTTTTGGGTCTTTGGCAGTGGCTCGCTTTTTATAGTGCTGGGTGCCCTAATAGTGGCTTTTTGGCCCGGCTTAGCAGACGATATTGTGGAGAAGGTATGTATTATTTGTGCTCTATAACCATTGTTTTAATAATCATGATTTGTGTAAATATTTTGCAGAATTTAAAACTGGAACCAGGCACAGACACCTACAACAGTTGGCTGGAAGCGCCCATACCGATCTATTTAGAGTTCTATATGTATAACTGGACCAATCCACAGGACATACGGAATCCAGCTATTAAGCCAAATTTTGTTGAAATGGGTCCATATGTTTTCCTCGAGCAGCACACGAAGGAGAATTTCACCTTTTATGAAAACGCCACCGTTGCCTATTATGAACGACGCACTTGGCATTTCCAGCCACATCTCTCAAATGGTACCCTGAAGGATAACGTTACGGCGGCACATGCGATCACAGCGGTAAGTTGAACCAAAGATAATGCTAGGCTAGGAAGTCTCGGACGAGGGACTAGCAGAGTCTATAAACCAAGTTTGAACATCTCTGGGAGCGCAGGCGTTTGCAAAATGTCAAGCGGCGAGGGTGGAAGTGACTATATTAAATTAATGTATCGTTTATCGTGCAAACCTTATACCTCTTTTCGATTTGGGGTGCATATAATTAGTAGATTTTTTGTATCAAAGAATCCAATTTAATTTGTTTAATTTAATTAGTTTTACATCGCTCGTGGGTTATCATTTATGCCCAAAATATCAAAAAATTAATAAAAGATTAGATAGTAGGAACAAAGAACGCTTTAAAGTGTACCGCACATGCCATGCAGAAGTATAGTTATGGTTTTAATATGCAATTAGAGGTATGTAGATTTAAAGATAATCCTATAGTTGCTGAGTAGTGATAAATTGCTAATCAAATCGGAAAAAATTAGTTTTTAAATAAATATGATTAAATCACCTATACATATAAGCTACTTAAGTAAAGTAAAAACTATATAAGCTAACAAATCTTTAATTCTTTTTATACTTTTGAACTTTTAATATACGTTTTTCTAACCATCTCTCAGAGATGAATAGGACTTTAAAGTTTTAAACTCAAACGATGTATTTTCTTGCAGACGGTTGCCGATGAAGTGCGTCATAAGAACAAAATCATTAAGAAAATAGTTAACTTCATGCTGAATCACGAGGGCGGTAAACTTTACGTAACCAAGCCTGTGGGTGAATGGATTTTCGATGGCTATCAGGACGATTTGATTGACTTTCTGAAACTGTTCAACACCACAAAAATCAATATACCCTATACGCGTTTCGGTTGGCTGGCAGATCGCAATGCTTCGTTGACATATGATGGTCTCTTCACCATACACACCGGCACCGATGACCTTTCGAATCTGGGCAGACTTACGCACTGGAATGGAAAGAACGAGACCGGCTTCTATAAGGCGCCATGTGGTACGGTAAATGGAACCACTGGAGATCTATTCCCACCGAAAATGAATATCAGTGAGGAGATAACGATATTTGCGACCGATACGTGTCGTTTTATGAATCTGAGACCGCAGGGCACCTTGACGCGTTACGGTGTGTCGGCCGTGCGTTGGGTGGGAACGGACGAAACGCTAGACTCTGGCGAAAATTATCCTAACCAGCAGTGCTTCTGTGATCCGCGTTTGGAGGAATGCCCCAAAACGGGTGTGGTCGACTGCAAGGCTTGTCGCGATCAAGCGCCCATCTATGCCTCCTTCCCGCATTTCTATCTAGCCGATAAATCCTATGTTGATGCAGTGTCGGGTATGAAGCCCGATCAGTCCAAACACGAATTTGTTTTGGCCGTAGAGCCCATCACGGGCATACCGCTGGAAGTGCACGCCCGCATACAGATTAATATGATGATAACGCCAGACAATGATTTTGAGTAAGTCAAGCAAATTAAATATTTGCTCAACCATTTGTTTAACTTACTGAATTCCATTATAGCATTTATCGCGACGTACCAAAGGTTTTAATGCCCATGTTCTGGTTTAATCAGAAGGCTATACTCAGCCAAGATTTGGCCCGCAAGGCCAAGGTGAGTTATTCAGATACGCCACTTTTTTTTTTATTTATAACTAATTTATAATTAACTCGTCCACAGCTTGCCATCAATTTGGGAAATTACGGCCTGTACTTTGGCATCGCATGCATAGTTTTGGGATGTTCCTTCTTCGTTACTGGGCTCGTGTTGACACTAACCAAGCGCTGGAAACGCGAGCCTAACGACGATGAGGACATGCTAACCAACTAGATTTACAAATAGACTTACTAGCAAACGCATTCAACTTGTAACCAAAGTGCCAGGACAAAGTAACTCCAACTAGTTCAACAGCTTTATCGTCTTGTCGTCGTCGTCATCGTTGTCGTTTGATGTTTGTTAGCTTCTTTTATGTCTTTGTACGACGTTATCGTTATGTATTATACAAGTATAAGTGTAAGACAGTCTTTTAGGCCAGCTCCGGTCTATGCTTTAACATTCGATAATTGTCATTTGTGATAGGCTAACAAATAATAATTATTAAGTGCAATACGAATATATATTAAAGTTTTTCTTTAACACAAACCTCTTTAACTCCAATTAATAAATAATGGAACATCATTTTGTATTTTAATAGTTTTTATTAAATTTTTGCAAAGTTTTTCGTTTTCTTACACACGTTCTTGCTAATAATGTTTATACTTTTCGCTAACTGTTCAGCAATTTGTTGCAAAATTACACAAAAAAAAATTATATACCCTTGCCATGATTTGTAACAATTGGAACATTCTCTCACGCCTCTAAGCTAAACTTAAACTAAAGTTCTTTAGACTTGAACACCGACACCTCGTCTAGCCAAATGTTTGATGTCTCTTTTAGGTTTAAACTACTTTTGTGATTTTGCAAGTTACAATTAAAAGGAATTTACACGTGTGCTCTTGACTGCTGACACAAACGCATCGGCAAAAGAGACATCAATCGAAATCAGCTTAGAAGACCAAAGGGTCGGCGTCTAACTTTGAATTTCTCTTTTAAGCTTCGTTCTACTAAACTACTAAATAGATGGCTAAAATGTTGGGAATGTTTTTTCTTTCTATTCCTGTTGAATTTTGTTATCAAATTTTTTCACTTATCGTATACAAATTGATGCGCCTGGGCTGCAATAATCCTTTGTTGTTAAATAAATGCAATAATTGAATTTGTGTAAATGAATAAATTATAATAATATGTATATATTTATATATGTATATGTACGATATATGGCAAAAATTTTTACATTTTCTCAAAAATCACATTACTCATTTAGCCATAGACTTTTAGTCGAGAAAAATCTACGCAAATTATTGTGAAAAATCAAAAACTCATTTTTGCACACACACACAAAATTGGTTGTTGGTTAATACAAAGAATAATCATATAAAAATAATAAACAAAATAATAATAATAATAAAACAAAACCGTCAATCGAGCATAGAACTCGCTAAATTCAAATTCAATTCAAACGTGCGGTGGGGCAAGCCTAGGCAATGAAATTCTAAATTATGTTTCAATTTTTTTGTTGTTTTTGTTCATGTTAGTTTTTGTTTGTTGTTGGTTTGTGTTTCTTCTAGCTGCTAGAGAAAGTTGAGTCTACATGCTAAAGATTTGCATAGTTTTTGTGCGTTTTTTCATTTTCATTTTTGTTTTGTTTTTAATGACTTATAAACGTATGTTGTATGTTGTTAAATAAAAATCAATCACAGTTGTTTGGGCGGAAGTAGTTAGTTTTCAGTTAAAAATATATATATATATACTATATATGTATGTATGTATGTATATTCGTATAGAACCTCTCGCTATGTTCGTTCTATTTAAAAACTAGCATGCTCCAAATGTTATTATGTTGCTCATTTAACTATGCATGTGTCATTTATTAAGTATGGTATGTGTATATGGTTTGTTATTCGTATTTTATACTTGAGTATTGTTACTTTTTCATGTTCATCCTTCAGTTTCTATTTCTGTTACTCTTTTGTCTTATATTTGTCATTCGTTTTGTGCGCTTCAATTTGTTCTCTGTGCTCTCCAACATCATCCCTAAAGTGACTAGACTGGGTTCTGATATTTGAATGCATATTTGAGGTTCGCTGTACTTGTATATTACTTTTCTCTCTCACTCTCTCTCTCTCTCTTCCACTGTATTTGTTGATTCTGTTCCTGTTCCTGTATCTGTATCTGTTATCATTCGAGTCTTTATACGAGCTCAGACTTCTTCTTCTTCTATAGTGGCTCGTATAAATTGGTTGTCTGTTTTTTTAAAATAGAAATGCAGTTGTTATGGCAGAGCAAGTGGCACGCGCAAGTAATCTCCCTTTCTCTAAGCTTCAACCGAAACACTGTGATCGATCCTACACGTCATCTGATCGCACTATGCAAAATCTTCGGCAGCAGCTCTTCGATCTCTTACGCACACGCACGCACGCACAAGTGCAGTGAGATTTGACCAATTTGGAAGCTATGTTTGGGTATTTCTACAGAACACGTTCCCAGAGAAGCTTTATGAAGAAAACCAACAGTTCTGTACTCAAACACCTCTATAGCGCTCTTTCCAAATCTGTCAAATTTCTCCGCACTTGCGCCAAACTACAGAACATATTTCATTGTTGTTGTTGTTGTTGTTGTTATGATCTGCCTTAGGTCTGCGAATTGTAGCTCTTATGATGCTTAAGCACCACAGCGGGATCCATGACATAGTTGTTGGCCTCCGCCAATTGCATGGGCAATGGCGGCAGCTTGTCATTGGGATGGCGATGGCTAATGGCGGCGCTCTTTCGCGTCTTGTTTAGTGTGGAGCTGGCGCTCTTGACGTTGTTGTTGGCCACGCTGGAGGAGACTGTGGCTGTGGCGCCATTCGAGCTGTTCACCATGGATGATTGCCCGGCCAGAGATTGTTGTTTGTTGCAGTTTGTTGAATTTAGAGTTGCAGTTGCTGTTGTTGTTGCTGCTGCTGAAGCGGCGACATTGCCAGCAGATGTTGCTGCTGTTGTTGTTGCAGCAGCAGCTGCCGAACTGGTTGCTGTTGTCGTCGTCGTCGCCATTGTCGGGTTCTTTGCATTCTTCGGATTGACTATAACCTTGGTTTGCTTGATCAGCGAACGATCGTTGCATAGTGCCGATATCAATGGCAAATCCAGATGTTTGCTCTTCTCACGCAGCAGTGCAATGTCCAGGGGATTGGCCTGCGAATTGGTTGCACCTGTCGCTGCTGGTCCTCCATGGCGACCATTGCTGTTGGCGGCCATGGAGGCTTGCAGTTGGGCCAAAATGCTATTGCCGCCACGATTTAAATTCAGGCCAAAATCGGGCCTGGGTCGCTCACCAGCCCACTGAGCACCGCTGGACGTCTTCGTCAGCGGACTGTTGGCGTTGTGAGGATTTAAGGTGGGCGGCTTCCTTGGCGGCAAAATGCTGCGTGAGCTGCTGCTGATGTGGCTGGTCAAGCTGGTGTTGGGTTTTGAGGGAACTGTAAGGAAGATAGAGACAATGAGACTTTAGTTTCAGCAACTAACAGCTATACTCAAGGGCGTACGCAGGGGGGGCCGTTGCCCCCCCTAGAATAAATTTTTCCATATAAAGTCGCCCACATGTTCATTATTATGACGCACTATTTCGCCTTAAGATGGATCTGCGTTGGATTTGTTGAAGTTTTTTCATCGATCATATGCATAAATTATTTTTTAAATGCATCGGGCATTATTTAATCAAATTTTAATTTTTTGGCCCCCCCTTCGGTAAAAGCTGGCTACGCCCTTGGCTATACTTTTTTAAAATATATTCTTTCGCTTTTTACGCTTATTATTATTATAGTTTTATTTTGTTTAATTCACAACTAAATCAATTTTTAAATATTTTTCGATGATGCCGCTGAAAAAATTCTTTAAGCTTCTGAAGCGATTTTCCGACGATTTAGAATAAAGGCGGTATTTCATTTAATATGAACTCCACTTCTATAATTAAAAGTTCGTTTAAAAGCAACTTAAGAGACAGATCGAACTAAACATATTCCCATTGAATTCATAATGTAGAAGATTTGATCTCTGCCTTCATTGCTTTGGAAATGTTTCTTCATTTTAAATCAAAAACCCCAAATTTCTTTCATCTGTTTACTTACTGGGTGGTGGTTTTTCACTTGGTGCCGGCATCGGTGGTTTCTTTAGCCGCCTGTTGACATAGGGAGGCGGCGGCGGGGGCGGTAAACGTTTAACCTTCGGTATCGAGTCGAGCGAATTCAGAATATTATCGTCTGATCGTGATCGTGCGAACAGGTTCGACGTGTTAACCGCAGCGGCTGCAGCCAATGCTGCCGGATGCAGCGGTGGCGGTGGTGGTGGCTCATAGGAGGAGCAGAGACTGGCCATGGAGGGCGAGTAGAGCGGCGAATAGGCGGCACTGGGTAGCTGTACATATGTATCCGAGAGATTTTGCGTGGAGGCATATCTCGAATGCGTGGAGAGGGCCAAGGGCAGATAGGGGGTGCTGCGATAGATCGCATGACCCTTGCACGTGTCCCAGCCGCTAGCTGTGTGGGCGCCGTGGTAGGCGAGATAGGGGTGTGGTGGCGGTGGTGCAGGAGCCTGTGCCGCCATAGCGGCCAGTATGGAACTCTGCTTAGCGTCCAGATACTCTTGCTGACTAACCGCCGGATCTTGTATGGGATAGATGACGTAGTCGACGTCGCTGTAGAGTTGCTGTTGATAGAGTTCGATCTGCTTACGTGCCAACTGACTGGAGTAGAGACCTGCTAGATGATGTGTAGGTGGTGGGGGCGGTGGTTGCCGTGGCAAACTGGGCGGCGGTGGTGGCAGAAACTGACGCGGCTTTATAACGGGGAGGAGAACGCATGTTTGCGCCTTCATTTCCGGATGTCCGTGCGACTGTTGATGCAGCGAGGCGCTGCTCCTTTGTGCGCCATGCAGTCCATAAGGAACTATGGGTATGCCAATGGTGCTGGGGATGACGCCGCCGGCAGCTGAAGAGCCGGAGTGACGATGATGCGCCGCCAACTGCAGAGAAGCCTGCGAGCCACTTACATAGTTGGCATTGTGCACAGATTGCTGGGAGAGATGACTGGAGAGCTGGTGACTGCACACAGAGCCACTGGAGGAGGCAGCCGAAGAGCAGGTGGTGGGTGCTGCATAGCTGGGCTTGGCACTGTCGTGAACCAGACTGGTGTGCGCCTTCAATATGTTGATTTGGGGACGTGTTGTGATGAAACGTGCCGTAATCTCCTCCGACTTCAGTGAGCTCATTGAGCCGGTCATTGTATTTATAGGTAACTGATGGATGGGCGCGTGCGACGAGGCGGCGGAAGTTACCGAAATGAGCGATGTTGGACGAGGTTTCATGCCAGTAGGATAGGGCGGTGGATCACGTCGACGAAGCGGCACAGCCTTGGGTGTTGGAGCTACTATTGGTATAGGAGCGGGCTCAGCAGCAATAGTTAATTTGGGCGCCAGTTTCGGAAGTGAGGTTTCTAGCTTGATGCTGGATCTTTTAACAGAGGATAAAGCAGACTTAGAGGATATTGGCACACTATTTGGTTTATTTGCAAGTGACACACTGCTCATGGCTGTTTTTGCCGGAAGGGAACTCCGTACTGGTGGCCCGCACAGACCCGTCTTCTCATGTCGCGCACTATAGGGCGGTGGCGAACGCATACGCAGTCCATTGCTCTCGAGACGCTGCGGCGGCTCTGGTGCAGCAGTTGGCAGCAAATCGTTAATCAAGTCCTCCACATCATGCTCAGTGGGTGCCGTGTCCTGATGCCCTTGGATGTACGACTCACCTTCTAGAGGTAGGGGGAGAGTGACATAGTCGCAATCGGAATGCAGAGTGCTGGAGACAGTCTTCCGATTGGGATATGTGCCGCGGCCCACAATTAGATTGGTTAGTTCCTCGGCTGAGAGCAGATTGTGCTTATTATCTGTGGGGTCGCTGCCATCTCCGCGGAAAGAGCTTGTAGTGCTGATGTTGGAGTCGGAGCGCAGTCGAAACTCAGTGTTCTTAAGCCGCTTGTTCTGTAGCTTGTATTTTTTGCCATCCACTGAGTCGGGAGGTGCATGTGTTTCATCCAACTCGTTCTTGACTGGCTGAAAGATGCCATAGTGCGAGCTCTTCTCTGATTCGGCGATTTCCGAGGACTGACCCGTCATTTCACTGCTGTGCATGGTGTAGACCCCCGAGGTTTCTGTAGGTGGTGCCCCATCCGCCAAGGTATACACTCCCGAAACGCTTTCGGTCTCATCCCGCGTCGAGGGAATATAATCGTCGACCACACATGTTGACTCAGCTTCACTAATTGTTGAGTTTTGTGCTGTGTGACTGAAGCCCAGCTCCAGACTGCTTGAGGTCGAGTGCAGTGGTGCCAGTGGCGCAGCAGCATCGGCGGTGGCCGAGGTCACCACCACTGTGCTGCATGTAGAGGAACATTGTGAGCCAATATTGTGCTGTGAATTGGGTGAATCTGTCGCCGTTGAGGAGTCAGTGGTTCGTTGACTCGCTGTAATGAGCGAGCAATTACCCCCAGAGGTATTACTAAGCTCCGCAGGCGAGTCGCCGCCGTTGCTGCTTAAGCGTTGCTTCTGCGCTTGTCGTACGCTCAACGCTGCCAACTGCTCCTCTAGATCCTTAAGCGACACCTGACCCACCGATGAGGTTTGTCGACTAACACTGGGACGATCCAATAAATGTGCGAGCGCTAAGCTCTCCGTCGAAGGCGCTGCAATTGGCGCTGGTGGCGTATTAATCATAATCTCCAGCTCATCCTCCGAATGTACGCGATCGCTAACGATACCAGAGGTGGTGTTTGAACTGGTGCTGGATATAACCGATATACGCTGATCGTTCTTATTCTTGTAGGGTAGCAGAAGACTCCTTGAGTACACATAGCTGGCATGCAGGCAATTACTTTCCTCCTCCTCCCTCTTGCTTACCTCCTTGATGCGTGCGGCCAGCTTCATGCTAAACTGATGGGTCTCCTTGCACAGCGTCAAGAGCATCTTGTTTTTCTCATCGGATGCTGCGTATAGGGTGATCTTGCTATCCCCTGAGCGTATCTCGAATTTCTTGCGTTCGAATGACAATTTCGTAATGTTGGGCCACAGAAAGGTCGTCTGCTGTGATGCTGTTGCATCAGTTAAGCCGCCTAGGATCTTAATGCCCTTGGCATAGACCACAAACCAGGCACTGCCCGCTCCATGCTCACTCTTGGCCAGACGCATGCGAAATGTGTGCGCATTTATGGTTTCATGGAGGCTACATGCCTGCTGTATGTACAGCAGCTCCGCATCTCCGGCGGCCATGCCACGATGCTCTCGATGGCAGGCACGCATGGCGCTGCGAGCCCAGGGCGTGTGCAATACACTAGGCAAGTAGTCCTCAATGCGATAGTACTCTGCATCCGTTGAACTCGATAGAGTATCTGAGGCTAATTTGAAGGGGGTTGTTGCCGCCGCTGTTGATGTTGAAGCTGCCGTCGAGTTCGTTAATTTAGCTGCCGCCTTGGCTGCTGCCTGACTGGTGGATGCCACATACGTGGACAGACGCAACATACGCTCATTGGCGCTGCTCAGACGTTTGCTAATCTTAGGCAATGTTGTCGTAAAAGCTGAGGACCGTTGTTTAATTGTAGGATCATCGCCTGCTGCTCCTTCCACTCCGCCTCCACCGCCACCACTTCTACCACTCGCCTCTTCCTGCGCTTTGGTTGTGCTTGTTGCTGTTGTTGTCGTTGCTGGGATCGCTGGTGCATCGCCCAGATCTGCCTGCAGCGCCAGTCCCGCCAGCAACACCAGCGACTGCTCGGCATTCTCATGGGGCAGCTCACGCTGCAAGGTATTGTGCTTCAATTGTAGATAATAATTGTGCCTGGATGTGCCGTCTTTTAGCATGAACGGACTCTCGATGTAGAACTGCACGCGAAAGTGCAATTCCAGCAGCGGACGTCCATTGGCATCCAGGCCCTGTAACAAAATATATTAAAAGAGTTAAGCACATGTTTAGGGAAGATTTGAGAAAAATCCACTTACATGCGTGTGCGAGGAGCGCCAGCTTTTGGGGCCGTATTTGGAGAGTTTGCTCTCGGGATCTGCGAACATGTACTCGCCATCTGAAAAAAATGTTTAAAACATATTTAATTATAATTACATATAATATATTTTCTAAATCAAAAAGGAAATTAAAACTAGGTAGTTAACTTCAGTTAAAAAATCCGTCAAAGACCTAATTATAAGGCTAGGTATATACTTATATTAGTTATATTATATTCACATCAAAACAAATCCACCTTAACACCTCAAGATTATAGCTAACTGTTCTTTAATTCATTTCACTACAGACCTTACACCTTAAGGTTTACATTAAGGAATACTTTCGACGGATAAATGTAAAATTTAAGGCTAATCTGATAAAACAAGTCAGATTTTTATAGCCTATACCCAAAGGGTGAAAGGCTATATTAGTTTTGTGCGAATGTATGTAACACACAGAAGGAGGCATGGCAGACCCCACAAAGTATATATATTCTTGATCAGGGTGACAAGCCGAGTCGATAAAGCCATGTCCGTCCGTCCGTCTGTATGAGCGCAAGGATCTCAGAAGGTACAAGAGCTAGAATAACCAAACTCGGTATCCAGATTCCCATAAGCCCTAGGCAGGTCAAGTTTATTTTTTTATTCTGATACACCCCTCCACTCCCCCGCAATTCGTGTTTTTTTTTTCATAACTCCCGTAGTTTTTGGAATTTTGAACTAAAATTAGGTAGCTACATCCCGTTAGTGATTATGTGTCTGTATGCCAATCGTGATAGGTCAATCCTGAAGAAAGTTATGCTGTTGAAACTGTACATGAACATGTATTTAATTTAATTAAATAATTTAATTAATATAATTTTTTTAATTATTTAAAAAAATTTTTTTTTCATTTTTTCCTTTTTGGTACCTTCCACAGGGTATTTAAGAGTTGAGCTTGCTCGACTTTAGCATTCTTTTCTTGTTTAATTGAAAGAAGTGTTTTCTGCTTTAAAAAAAATACAAAATTAAATGAAATTGATTCCCGAATTGAAAAGAATGATCAAGATGATCGTTTATTTATTTGGTGACCCCAACATCTTCAGCTAAAAATCTAAAAAGTTAGAAATATGTATGAGAAAATTGTTCTGATGGATAAATTAAGGTAGGTACAATATTATTCATTATTATATTTAATCATTTATTTAGCTCCAATAGTCCAATAATTCGTCCAACATGTAAGCTTAGCTGATCACAAAGTTTGCTTTCTTTCCTAGCCTGCCATAAACTACTGGACGAAAAAGATGAACACCTTTTTCTCTGGAGAAATTAAGCATATTCTCAATTACATCTAACATTGCATTCCACGTATCATTGATAATCTCAGTCTCAGAAATTGGAGCCAGGCTATTTAAAGTTTTCAAAATAAACTGTTACAATCCAAAAAATAATCCAATTTTGTTCAGTGTACATTCCGTATTTTGAATGGAAAAACTCATGCTTGAAGTTTGATTATCCGCATGGCAAATATTTTGTCACCTGCCCAACTCTATGCCCAAGGTCAAGTGGCTCGAAGAGCCAACAGCAACGAAGGCAACCTAATCAAAATTTTAAATGATTTTTTGGCCGTCAGCCAAACAGCCAGCATTGGTCCTGCCGCGTAAAAAACAATACTCGTATATTCCGCAAAAACTTGGGCTGCACCGCCTCTGTCATTTTGTCAGACAATAAAAAAGGCAACTCGTTGACGCGCATACGTCAGACTGTCAGCCAAAGTTGGGACTGGGACTGGCACTGGGGCTGATGCTGCTGCGGTCGCGTTTCTGTGTCCTCGCAGCTCAAGGGCATGACATGCTCGAGTAAAAACAACAAATGGGCTTGAAAAAAACAAAATCAACACACACTTCAAAAAATAAGAAAAAAAATGAACGAGCCAACGAAACGAAATGAAACGAATGAACGAGCGAGCGAACGAAAAATTGGAATTCCTGCATACGAAATGAAGTACAAGATGAAAAATAATAATTATTAACAAAGAGAAAAAACAAGAAAAAAGCCATGGCATGGAAATATGTGGGCACACGAGCGGCTGCCGAAGCAGCAGCAACAATATCATAATAATCATCAACGGCGAAATAAGTGCCTATCAATGACGACCGACCAACCAACAACCAACAACGAACAACCAACAACGACCAACGACTGATGACGACGGCATACCAAGCCCAAAAATTGAATCAAAAACAACAACAACAACAACAAAACACCAACCAACAGCAGCAACTACAACAACAACAACAACAAGTGAACAGGTAGAAATACAGGTAAGCATAAGGCAACTGAGAAGCTGCAGTCAGATTTCATTTGATTATGAAAAAGTGAAGCAGTTCTTGAGAGCTTAGCAGTCTCTCGAGCAGGTGTGAAGCATTCCAGACTGATGCTGCTGTTGTTGTTGTTGTTGTTGCTGTCCATGCACATCCTAAGAGCCCTGGGCACGCAACTAAACTCAATATGAGGAGCACTCGAACTTCCCATTTGGGCCAGCGGCAAAAAACCTAATAATTAACATATTTTCCACTGCATTCCTGAGCGCTTACAATTAACACGCACGCACGCACGATGAAACAGCAGAAGGGTAGAGGAGGTTCAGTGGAGGGGGAAGGCAGGCAGGGGATGGGGGGGAGGGGGCAGAGCAGTTGAGGTAGAGGAGCAACAAAATAAATCTTCAATTTGAAACACATGCAACACAAATTACAGACTACAGGCCTGCCTTGCCTTGCCTTACCTTGCCCTGGCTCTTGGGATTCCGGCAGCAGGCAGCAGGCAGGCAAACATGCAGGCAGGCTCATCAAGCCAAGAGGAATTCAACAATACCAACACCAACAAGCGACAGCAATGGCCGAGCGAGGAAGAAGAACGATGCCGAAGTCGAAGCCAGCTAGCCAGCTAGCCAGCCAGCCAGCAAGCCAAAGAAATATGCGAGGCAGACAGCTGCGCCACGCACAGCCGCCATGGCATTCTTCAGATTTATTTTCCAAAGGTTTTGAGTAGGCACACACACACACGCACACACAGACACAAATATACACTCACATAATAACCAAGCAGCTACAAAATAACCCAAAAAGCAGCAGACAGACGGCATGAAAGATAAATATGTGGCCTGCTCAATATACATTTGTGTGTGTGTGTGTGTGTGTATTTGAAAGAACGGACGAACGATGGAGCGAGCCAGTACAGCAAGTAGAAGAAGCAGAAGAAAAGGAAAAAAAAACATAAAACCAAAAGAATTTTAATTTCCGATGTTATCAGATGCACGCAGCAACGGCAGCATGCGGTTGCAAGGCCGACATTGGCGGCAGCAGCAACAACAACAACAAGAACAGCAGCAGCAGCAGCCGCTGAAGATTGAGCAGCAGAACGAGAAGCAGGAGATGGAGATGGAGATGAAGTGAGTATAAGAAGAAGGGGTGGAGCTGTAGTAGGAGTTGCCATCCAGCACGACGCGCTGAGACGAACAAGCCCCGAATGCCATATAATAATGATTATGAGCCATTAACATTAAATGGAAAAGAAAATGCTGGTCTACAGATTACAGCCAGCAACAATATCCACAAGTAGTGGCACTTTTCACAAACGTACATATGCATGTATCTATGCGTCGATGTGTGTGTGTGTGTGTGTGTGTGTGTGTGTGTGTGAGAGGAAACGAGTGCGGCTCCAAAAGGTTTGGTCGTTGTCCGGAATGCAACGCTGGAATGCATGCAATGCGCGACTGCCGACAGCTAAAAATAACACCAGCAGCAGCAGCAACAACAACAACAACAAGCGCAGCATCCGCTTGTCCCTGCCACATTGTTATTGCTGCTGCTGTTGTTGTTCTTGTTGTTGTTGTAATCAATATGCCTACTGCTGCTGTTGCTGCCGAAGATACCGAAAAGAATGCATAAGCCATCAAGTTAGGTTCAGACCCAGAAACAAAATATGGCAAAGAAAATACTTAAGCTAGACATTTATAAAAATTCTTCTCTGACAGGTTGACAGGCAAAGCTCTAAAAATATGTCAAATATCTAATCATTCATTTAGATAGAGTACAGCGTATGTGTGTAGGAAATATGTACCTAAAACAATTAAGTCGTTAGAGCTGTTTCTTAAATTTTTTTTATCAACATTTAAAAACATTTTCAAAGAATATTTTTGTGCCTAAGACTAGGGATAGATAGATCGATAGATGGATAGATAGATGATATCTGTAGATAGATAGATAGATAGATAAATAGATAGATAGATATATTTGGAGCAAATCAGAGGCTTTAAATAGAACATCTTTAGAAAGACCATATAATTGAGCTATTGGTTCCATTAACTTTTATGCAATATACTCTTAGATATAGGAATCAAAATTGTCCCCTTATGAAAACGTTTAATCACTTATTTTGTGAAACAAAGAACACGTTCAAAAGACCCGAAAAAATTGACCATGTCCCCTCTGGATGCCCTGAGCATAGCCAAGTTGTCTGAAAGCAAAGATGTCTAACTAAGACTTTTGAGGTTATTTGACCAAATGATAAAGGGTCGTGCAGATGCTTTGATGCATGTTTTTTCGAAGAGCATTGCTTGATTCTCACATTATTTTCAAGTTAATATTCTCAAAGAATTTTAAACATGAATCATTCCTTGTGCTTCGCCGTATTTAATTTATTTTCCACATAGATATGCATATTTTCCATATACTGAATACATTCCTATCAATTAATTCCACTAGAGAATGCAATTCGCCTGCTTTAGAAGCAGCTAAGTGAATTGACTTAGAGGTTTTGAGCAACTTCTTTTGAGCAACCTTTTACAGACATTTGGATTATCCGAGCTCATACACACATCCAAATAGTTTCGTTCCTTTTTTAATGAACTCAACTTTTCGCATTCTTTAGTTTTTTCCTTAGTTTTTTTAGTTTAGTAGCTATTAGAGGGTTTAACAACCATTCTTGACTCGAACCATCTCAACTCTTCGTATTCTAATCCTAACCAACCTAATCTATTAATTCCAATCTAGTTTTTAATTATAAAAGTATTTGTTTGAGGCCTACGTGATCTGTTTATCACTAACATTATATTGTTACATAAGAAATACATATTTGGTCCCATAGCGTTTTAAGCTTTCTCCCCGAGAACAAGCCGCTATAACCATACAAAACTCCAAGTCACACTGTTGTTTATCAATTTCATTTTTCCAGCAAGCTTAACAACATTTCTTTTGGCATCTGAACGCCACCTTGCTGCCACTACCTTGAAACGGAAATTGTGTGTCCAGCTATAAGCATGCGCATGCCCAGCAGCCGCGGTCGCAGCAGCAAAAACAACAACAACGAAACTATCTCCAACTGGTCATCAAGTCTTGTGACAATGTTGCCAAATTGCCAGTGGCGGCTGCTGGTGGTGCTGGTCCGCTGTCTTCTTAGTCGTAGAGTCGCTGAATTCGGTGCAGCCCCCTTTGCAGATACTCGTATCTGCCACTTAAAGTTAATTTCTGTTCGTGGACCGCGCGTCTCTGCACAAAATTTGCATAAAGATGAAATTTATTGACGCTGCGTGGCCATAAAATTGAAATTCATTTGCAAAATAAAAACAACAACAAAAAAACAAAACAAAAAGGCCAAGAAAAGTGAAGAAAAAGCTTGGCTGCAAGGATGTGACAGCCAAAAGGGCCATGACAACAGCAACAACAACAACAATAACAACACAACAACAAGCCATGCAATGTAATGCCAGCAACAAAACGAAAGACTTAAGCGACGAACTTGCAGCAACAGCAGCAGCAGCAGCCGCCACAAAAGAGACAGCAGCAACATTTTTGCGGTGCTTGAACTGTTGTGCAAGTTGTAGTTGTTGTTGCTTCTGTTGCAAGCTCGCATTTCTATCTATCAAACAACAACAACAACAACAAAAAACTACAGCCACTAAAGGCAATTTTGGTGCATTGGTGAAAGAGCGCGGCGTGAAATGTTTGAAAGTATGCAGCCCCACAACAACAACAACCACAACAACGACAACTGCCAGGCACATTGGGCTGCATGCCAGTCATGCAATTCAAACAAACACACACACACACACACACATAAACACCAAGAAATAGCAACAACAACAACAGCATCAAAAAATGTTGACTGACATTGGGAAAAATCCTTGCAAAACTTCCAATTTCATAGCCAAGAGAGCAACAGCTCTGGCAGCCACAGTCACAGTTGCTGTAGCAACAGCAACAACAATAAAATTTGTGGCAACAACAAGAACAACAGCAGCAACTGGCAGCGCTGGCATACCCAACTGCATACCAAATTCTTGCTTTTGAAGATGTTGTTGGCAACGAAATTGATGCCAAACTGTGGCGGACTTGCCGAACAGATTCGAAATTTACGTGCGCTGTTCTGCACAGTCCCCATGTGTGTGTGTGTGTGTGTTGTGTGTATGGTGCAGCTACACTCAGAGAAAAACCTAAGATTTCTTTAAGAAAGGAAGCTCAAAAAATTCCAATTATATTATATTATCCAATATTATGCCTATTTAATAGGAGAAAACAAACACGTTTAGAGATCCTTTAGCATCGGACAATAATATCAACAACAAAAAATTTTTAAAAGAAAGAAGAAGAAACCCGAAACGATAAAATAGTAATGGTTTTATTTTTATTATTTTGCTTTTCGATCTAAGAGTATGCTGTGGGGCTGTAGAACATTTTCAAGGAACAATACACAGCATTTCAAAAAATAATCAGAACACACCACACTGCCCGAAAAAGCAAATGTTGGGGAATAAAATAAAATGCGGTTCGCAGGGACTTCCAATTTACAGTTGATTGTAATAATAAATATAAAAATTTGACAAAATTTTAGGTTGATCGGACCACGCCCACTCTTATCTCCCATATTAACCATATTAAATTGCTATGAATTTGATACTATTGTATATATATTATTTATAATTTATGAAATTTTTAAACATAAAAAAAGAGGAATATTTGTTTTCATAATCCCAATCCGAGTCTATATCAGATTTAATATTATAACCTTTAAATATAAGGGCTGCCTCAGACAATAGGATTTCCCTTCCCACGGCAGCTTGTCCTTGTTTTTCTCGAGGTTTTTATTTAATGGAAGGCTCGATATTAACGGATCCGAAATTTTAATAGTTTCCTTTGGCATTTTGGCATAAATTTGTAATTCTGTATTTTAAAATTTTAGTTTTTGATTTTATAAAAAAAAGTCCATTTCTAGTATTGTTTCGGCTCAGCTGTACTGAAGCATTTTCCTTCATAGCCTAGTTTCGAATGGAAGATTGCTCAGAGCAGTTAAGGGGCTCTTTTTTTTTGAGTGCATGCATGTGTGCCTATTGGAGGACGCATATCTTTGAGGCCGTTTCCATGCCATACCAAAAGAAGTTTGGAGCCGCCTTCCACCTCCCCAGCTCCTCAGCCATCGTTGCGGCTGGTGCTCGTCCCTGGCCATGGCTGCAAACAGGCGAACAAGGCAACACGATGGCGCACATCCACATCCACAAACGGGGCAAGCAGGCAGGCTGGCAGGCACAACCCCAACCATAGGCACATCCATAGCCACATCGTTGCCGATTCGTTTGTGTTAATGCAACGCGCGACGGCTACCTGAATTACTGAACACGCGTCTTGTGTCTGTTGCCTGAAATTGTTTGTTCGCCGTCGCCGTTGCCGTCGCAGTCGATGCGCCTGCCTTGCCTTGCCTTGACTTGCTCCTTGTTGCTGTTATTTTGTTGTTGGTTGTTGTTATTGCAATGCTTTTCGTTTCATGTGCTATTTTTTGCTCATCGCCTCACAGTGTGTGTGTGTGTGTATTTTTGTGTGTGCGACTATGTTTGTGGTATTTTTATGTCTTTTGGCTTTTGTTGTTGTTGTTGTTGTTGATGTTGTTGCTGGCTGGCTGGCCAGGCTCAAACTGGCTGCAACAGCAACATGGCCAACACACCAAAGTTGCTGCCACTGATGAGCGTGGCGTTCTTTGCCCGCTTTGACTGCTGGACAGCATCAGAGCACCTTTTAAAAAGACTGGTTTATGTTTATTAGTTTTATTTTTCATGCCTTATCGCTGCGCAGCCGACTGATGTGGCTGATGTGTTGTTGCCTGTTCCCTGTTGCCAGTTGCCTGTTGCCAACTGCAAACGCATAAAATGCTAACTGCCAACCGTTTAGGGTATAGGCATGTACGTGTATATGCATACATACATAGCTAAGCCTATGTGTGTGTGTGTGTGTGTGCCGAAAATATAGCTAAAGCTATCCACCAGCCCACAATTGTACCTTTAGTTAGATAGCAATACAAATTCTTTCAACAGGCCACAGAGAAACGTATTTAAAGGTGTTTCCTCTATTCACACTAACGAAGTTAATAAAGTATTAAATACTTGATGATAAAAGTGCATCATAAAACGAGTTAATTTTTCATAAAATGAAATCATTATCGGCAATGCGGATGAGCTGTTATAGAATATTATGGATTTAGAAAGCAACATTAGAAGAGATTAATAATTTACATAAAATATGCAAAGAAATCGTCGTACAGCTGATATTTGGTGAAACTTTAATACAATATTAAATGAAAGGATAATTCGGTAGTATGGAATTAAAGCTATTGCCTTCTAAGCTCATAACAAAGAGATTTATTACTAAACCAAAATAACAGATATCAATGATAAAAGAAACCAAAAGATCTTCAATCTGAATTCAATAAAAGAATATCAACAGATTTTTCAAATGATTCCTTGGCATCATGATCATTGAATAATTGGTATATCATCCATGGACAGCGCTTAAATCCATCATCTGAAGTCTATTTATCTATATTTAACGAATTACATATATTACTGAATTGTACATATGTACGAGTACTTTTGATTATGAAAATATTTTTGAACCGATTTCATAAGAGCAATCAACACAATAAACAATAGATTATATTTGATTGGGCTTGAATTTAATGAGAAAATAATAATATCTAAGAGACATGTTATCTCAGATAATATTATCTACAGCTTATATGAATATAAAAGAATGTGAATGAAATCTAACGTTTTCTTTACGAAATAATGTCAAATTATCAATGTTTATTTGTAGAAAGGAAATAGATATGGTGACATATTGGAAGGTTAACGTTTTTGTTTATTTCGAAGCCACATCATGCTGGAAATCCTGAAACTATTTAATTTTGATAGCAAACTGATTTTTTTGTCTAGCTTTTCCAACTTGTAGTGCGACAGTACTAAAAAAAAAACACTTAAAAATTAATCAATTTGCCTTTTCTATTTTAATATAAATGAGCACTTAATTTTATATAAAGCTTTCAACAGTAGTTTTTGAATTTTATTTAATTGTTGAGATTACGAGCAGGAATTTTAACTATATTATAAAATTTATTTACTTTTTTGTAGGCTGTTCTATCAACTGGTTCAGATTACTTGCAGGACCGTCTATTATTTTTACTATATCTTGTTCAACATGTAGCCAAAAGGTGTTAAGGTGTGTTTGTGGACTTACTTTGTTTATAAACAAACAAAAACTGATTATAGTGTAAAAAATCTATTTATTTATTGTTGTATGAGCTTACCTATGAGCACAGCCAGACCGAATAGTTCGGTATCCAGCATGCCCTGTGTGGCAAAGTGTACACATGTCTGGGTATACACTTCTCTGACTCGACTCTTTGCATCGACTAGGAAGTACAAGGTTTTCGGCTGTTGATGGCCCAAAAGTCTGCAATCGAAAACATTAGATAATGTTCAATATAGTACTACAAGTATATAGTCTATAGTATAAGTAAATATTCACTTACCTCAGTGCCAAGAAACGTGAGCCGGGTGACAGTTGCTCGGCTGAGGACGCGCATACTTCCAATGGTGCGCTGACGGTGCAGAATGCTCGCATGCTGCATCATTTTTTGTACACAGCGTGCGCGTTCGAATTGCGTTTCTAAAACGAAGAGAAGATGCAGAAGATGGTAATAATGATGATGAAGAGAAGTTAGTGAAAGGCATTTAATAATACGGTTCTAGGCTGTCTTAAAGCTATGCATAGATTGAATGCGGCAATTTAATTGCTGTGCGATGGTGCTCTGTAGCTTTTGTTGTTGGCCTTTGTCTTTGCCGGAATTTCACCAATCAATAACGAAAGACTTAAGCGACAAACTTGATTAGGCGATGTGCGTGCGTGGCCGCCTGCTTGCCTGCCTCCCTGCCTGCCTCCCTGCCTGCTTGCTAGCTCAGTCCGTCTTTCAAACTGAACATCGACGCATAAAATTATTAAAATTCAGTTAAAGAAAGTTACACACAACCACATGGTGGCTCATACGCACACACACACACGCACAGGCGTATGATGAAAGAAAAGCATTTTATGCATAAATTAAAATCAAATCGAATCAATTCAACTCCAAAATGTATGGAAGCGTGTTTCAAGCAGCAGTGTCTCAATAGAAAAAGTTAAGAAAAAAAGCTTGTAGTTAGGCACGTCGACAGGCTGCGTCGACAGCGACAGCGACGACGACGTTGGCGTCGACAGCGTTTTCTACGCGCATAAATTTCAATATTGGCGCATTTCTGTGCGACGACGCCGTCTAATAAATTTCAACGTCTAATAAATTTATTCAGAGTCAAGTTAAGCGTCGATTTCTGTGTTCAGCGACTGTCGGACAGTTGGACTGCCGGTCTGCTGGACTCTCGGGCGCTAATGATAATACATAATGTGACGCCATTGTTGTTGCAGAACCACCCGGCCGACTTATTAATATGATTGCCCAGACGCCATTTGATCAAACACAAAACTAAATGAGAAAAGGTGGAAGGAAAGAAAAAACTGACCACGTTGCTCAGTTTTCTGGCATCGGAGCAACAGAAACAGCCACGGCAGCTGCTGATCATCAATCAAAACGCACGGTTGACATAAATTATAAAAACGCAAGACAGATAAACCTTAAATAACTTGGCGCATACGACTGTATATGTATGTTCATACATATATTTTACATACTTATACTCGTATGTCTGTAGACATTCCTGAAAAGCAGCCCAAAACTCTAAGCCGCATTCAATGGCAGGCAGTTGTCTCAAATGATTGAATGTTAGGCGTTACAAATGCGCACGGCTTATCGGAATTTCAGTCGCAATGGGAACTCTAGAATATCAACGTGATTTAAGATTTGAATACGCTACTGAAGTATCGAACTCGTGCGTGTTCGGATTAAAACAGAAACAAACTGAGAAACACTTTACAAGCTTTACAACCAAAAGTGTCCGAATCCATAGAGTGTTTTCCTCAACCTTATTTCAGTTTCAATATCGATCAAGGCTATTCTATAAACTTCTGCACTTGAAACTTAGAAGAACTTGTTAAGTTTTAGTCTTTCTAGCTCTTCAGTAATATTGCTATGTTACGAATTCTTCAACCACCGTGTTTAACTCTCTAAGCTTTTGATCTTTTATAGTAGTTCAGTAGCTAAGAAAATAAATAATAATTCGCTCACAACTGCATTATTTTAGAGCTATACTTTGAAAAGTCAACCCAAAAAAGTTCTTTCTAGTAGAAAATTGTATTTTAGTGTAGAATTTATGTTCGTTTTAAGAGAAATATTAAATTTATTTAACGCAAATTTGTTTTTTAGTTAGTTTGATCCATTTAGAACCCTAAAGAACCGGAACTAAAAGCGATTCAACCTTACTACAGATTAATATTGTAAAATGAATCCATTTAATCGTGTTGACATTAAAGTTCTGTGAAATGCCATTCCCCCAAATTCTCGAATTTTATAGCTCTTTCAGTCTAATGATCATCGAGTGGGAATAGCGGCTCTATTAATCTAGTTGTAAGTGTATTTTGTAGCAACTTTGAAAAAGCCGACAGCCCTTTCTTCTTATCTTCTTACAGAGTATATTTTTCTTATAAATAATTATATAAAGAGGTAAATATTAGTACAAACCCCTTCGGAATTGTCTACTTCGATTTCGTAAGATCATGCACCATGTTAACCAATTCTACCACAAGTATTTATTCACAGATAATCAATATCATTAATAGATTCATTGACCCTCTGCTCTACATGCCCAACTACCTAGCAACAGAAAGAAACTAAAATAATAATAGTAATAAAAAAAAAACAAACTAAAACTAGGCAAAGATGACTCAAACAATAGGCTGAAAAAAGCCGCCGCCTATTAGAAATGCAAACAAATTAAAAGCATTTAACAATTTCAATCATAACAAATTATCCGCATTCCTCACACATAGTTGACGGACGGAAGGACGGCTAATGAAAGCGGCATGGCACTATGGCTGGGGTCTGAGAAGCCGAGCCGGCAGTGCTAATTACAAAAGTCAATACAAAGCACAGCCAAACAGAAAAGAGAGCAGTGGTGGCTAAGGGGGGGAAGGGTGCTGGGTAGTTGGGTAAATAAACCGCAATTAAAAATGTGGTGGTAAAAAATGCAGCAATGCGAACGAAACTGGAACTCACTCAGAGAGGGAGAGAGGGGAAGAAGAAAGCAGGCGAAAGGTAAAGCGACAGCTTGCAGACACGCTAATCAGTAATTAAAAAATTGCAATAAATATTTTGTTTATGCCAAACACACGCAAACACACGCACACACACACACCCAATCAATTTACGATAGAAAGAGAGAGAGAGAGAGTCAAAGAGAGGAGAGAGATTGTGCTTGCGAGTGTGAGCGAACTTCAGGAATGCAGACAAACAAACATAACGGGCCATAAAAATCCCACGACGTTTGCCATGCCACGCTAATTAAATGGCGCAGGCGCCAGTGGCAAATTTGCGCTTGGCTTAGCAAAAAAAAACACACACACACACACGCATACATATTAATAAAAATAAATAAAGACAAGCAAGCACACGTTGCGCATACGACGCGTTATGCAGCGCAAGCAATAATAATGCGAATGTGACAAGCAACTGCGATTGCGATTGCGACTGCGGCAGCGGCAGCGATCGCATCGGAATCGCCACTCTGGGTCCACATTTTACAGTCCACGTCCACTGTTAACTGCATGCCAATGCACTTAGCTCATTTCTCACTAATACTACCACTACTACTACTCCCAGCCATGGGGCGAGTTCGACTTCGACTTCGCCTCCGAGTCGCAGACTGAGAGCCCTGGCGAGCAGGGTGACCGTACCGCCTTAGAAAAAACAACAACAAAAAATATGATGCCAAAAATTAATCAGCATTAAATGTTCATTTTATCTGCCAAATTCTTAAACGCGCTTGTTGCTAAGTAGATTACATTTTGACTTAGCATTCCTAAGTCATTAATTAAAATGAAGTTCTAATTACAATTTTCATTTGTAATATTTGTTTTCTGAGCAATTATTTGCACACTGAGTATATACTTAGTTTAATGCTATGTTCAAACAGCTTAAAATATCTCACTCTTTTATTCACATTTCATTTGTCATTCGTATTATTTTATTTTATTATTATTTTTTTTTTTTGGACTGAATATATAACTTTTTTTTTGGCCATATCATAGAAAAAATGTTAGAAATTTTAACACATTTAACTATCCAATTTGAAAAAATAGATCTCAACCAAGGAATATTATAGTTTTACTTGTAATATAAAACAAATCTACTTAAAGGGTTTGGATTTTCTATGCCACCAAATTTACAAATTTGAAACTATTTTGAATTCACTTTATTATTTTCCAAAGCTTGATCATTAAATGTCGGTCACTTTGGTGATTTGATTGTCACGATTAGTTTTACAGTGCACGTTGCAGCTACATCGCTATGTCGCATTATAAATTTAATAACGTGAATGTGACTAGCAAATGCGACTGCTATCACGATCGCGATCGCTTCAAAGCTTACATTTTACAGCCCACCTTTAATGGCATGCCAATGTACTGAGCTCATTGACTGCAAATGCCGGGAATAGGTATTGAAATACTTTAAACGTATTCTTTGTATCTATTAAAGTTTTACAGTTTGACTGTCGGTCAGTTTGTTTGTTTGTATTATCTTGAAGCATATAAGTGCTAAGGACATCAAACATGGTATCAGTAATTCACAAAGTAATAAATGGATAATGAAATACCATTGTATTTCGTTCAACAACCTTTTGCAAAAACTAATTGAGCTGAGCCTGCTTTGCTCTGACCATCTATCTGTTTGTCTGTATGAAGCCCTTAATCTTGTTGAGCGCAAGAGCTAAGGGCAGAAAATTTGGGGTGAGAAATATTCCAACGTTTCTGCAGCCTTTATTTGCATCAATCACAAATTTAATCTTATTATTGTATTTCATGTAATCTTTGAATTCAATGACCCCACTTTCTAAACAAAGTTCAGTTAATAATTAGTTGCTCCGTCTTCGTTTGTAAATACGAGTATTGTAAATTATGACGAAAGATACAGAATGCCTTTGTTTACAGACAGTTCGGTATTTGTTTTAACAAAAATGCTGCGATAATTTTGCGGTCATTCACAATTTAATTGATTTCCCGAAATGAAACTGTAACAGCAAACGTGTGCACGTGAAGTCATAATTGAAGGCATTTTAACAAACTTTCCTTAATTGAATTTGTGTTTCCTAAAATCTGGTAATAAAATTTCGGTCACCTTGCTGATTGGCGAGTTGTGTAAGTCGTGACTTTTACAGCCAGCATTTAATTGAAGCGAATGTGAATGTATTTCAAAGCTGTCGCCGAACACCGAACGCCGAACGAACCAGAAATATAAATTTAAAATGGGTTGCGAGTGTGCTCTGTTCAATAAACACTTAAAATAAATATACAAGCGTGCAAAAAACACACACATACACACACTACATAGCTAGTATATATTTGCAGAGGCATGCGACGCGTATCTATGACAGTGCTTGCAAAACTGGATTCTATTGAAAGTGTTGTTGTTGTTGTTGTTGGCAAATAATGAATGATACTTGGAGCGGCAACTGCAACGTTCA